TATGGAATCATTTCGATTAAATACTAATGACTTTCTGGTAACAAAGTAAAGGGTATAAAAAAAGACTATAAAGTCTGAATTAAATAAAGTACACAAAGAAGTGCTTTATGCCTTTATGACTATGAGAAGCTGTCCTCATCTGGTTTGAATAATGACCCACCCCAACCCACCTCCCATCAGCTCTTCTTCACGTTCTCTCTCCCCACCTCCTGCTGGAGTCAACCTCCAGATGTTGGTCACAACCTTTCAACATTCCAACTGCTATAGTCTACTAACTGCCCTCACTACAAATATACACACATACGCTGTAGGTCATACACACACACACACACACACACACACACACACACACACACACAAGGAAGTTCAAGGCTGTGCCAGAGGGGAGCAGGTGGCCAGAAACAACATTTGACCAGGTCTATCAGAGGCAACAGCCTGAATGTTCAAACTCCATTCATCCAGAAACACTGGCCGGGAAAACAGATGTGCTATAACCGTTTCATAGTAATGTATTGTACATGTGCACTTCTTGTACATTGCTTTGACTCTCCTTTAACATTATTGCATATGGCATATGCCTTCGCCCAATGCCCGCCCCCCCAGCGACCCACAATAGGATAAGCAGTTTCGGATATGGATGATTTTTTTCCCCAACCATAGAGAGAGACTGAACCATCAAACACTTGTTCTGCTGGCTTGTGAGCAGCATGTGCTGAAAGTCCACATGTGCACACTGAACGATCAATCATTTAAGATGCTCTACTGAAGAGGAGCAACACAAAGAGGCAATCATCTGTTCCATTCATAAAATAAAAAAGCAGCAAAAAAACAACAGTCCAGATTGTTTGCCTGTGAACTCACTCACTAATTATTCCAGGGAGGACAAGAGGGCCTTCCCAACAGTATGAGTGGACACAAGGTCGTCAGCTAAAATAGAACACTGCGTGCTGTGAGCCCCGTTCTCAAATGAACACATCTGTTAGCGTAACTTTTCCTGAAGAGAGAACACTCCCCTGCCCTGCTGATCTCAATCACATTCTCATACTAATGTGCGCATATACTCACACAGAGACAGACATGCACAATGTCCCTGCTTTTCCCATTCAACATTGAGGCACAGAATAGAGCTTGACCAAAGCCTGCACTTATGAGTAAAGCATGTGTCTGGGACGCTTGTATGAATTCCTGTCACAATAAATGTAGTCATTAAATACTTGTCTATTTGATGGCTATATATTTGGGTTATGGTTAGACGTCTACTAACCTTGACTAATTCCCCAAATTTAGCCGTGCTTTGCCTCCATAACCCAGTTGGTAGCTATTGTATTTGTTACCAGAAGCAGTTTATTTTGAGTCAAAAGTGATTCCTATAGCCAGTTGTTTAGGTTTCTGGATGTAGATTGTTCAATAGGCATCTAATTAATGGCTAGGCAATACTTGGGTTATGGTTCGACGTCTACTACACTCTCACTGAAAGCCCAAAGGTAGCCGTGTTTTAGCCTGGACGTCAGTTCTACGTATAGACGGCTATTAGACGTCTTTTAAACACAAAATGCTTGCTTGGGCTTTGATGTCTACTAAACTGACAGTCCAAATGTATCTGTGTCCAGGCATAGCCAGAGGACAGACAGCAATCCCGGTCCATCAGTCGGTCCATCTCTTTGGGCTGGACTGAAATATCTATGTGAAGGATGGCCATTTTAAATTTTGTGCACAAACTGATGGTCCCTATTGGATGAATCCTAATGCCTTTGGTGATTCCCTGACCTTTCCTATAGTGCCACCATGTGGCCAAGTTTCTATAATAGAAACAAACGCTGTTTTTTATTTTGGTGCAAGGGGAAAAAACAATCCAAGCGTTGCTTTTATCAGCAATGAATTGCATGCAAGTTCACAATATTTGAAAACGTTAGATTCAGTGCATGCTGCCTTATGGTTTGTCTCTGCTTCGGGTTTCAGCACACCCCCACTCCACACACAAGCAATACAGCGCACACATACAGAAACCTTCTCTACTGCTCCTCTCTCAGCGGGACCGAACACATGAAAGGAGGACAAAACACCTCCTTCTGTCCTCCATCAGTCCTCCGAAGTCAGTCAGTGGCTGAGATGAAGTGCCCCCCCCCCCCTTTTTTTTACTTCAAAATCTGGATTCAATAACTCCCAGATCTTCAAAAACCCTTCTGGCGCACGCACGCACGCACGCACGCACTAAATCCTAGATGGACTCATGCAGGTCTATGAAAACATGCACGTGCTCTAAGCAAAGACATTGGACTGAATTTGAAGCATACTATGGCATTTGGAGTATGTTTATATTGAAGCGAGTTAAGTTATTGAGTTTTTCAAACAGTACTGATAATAATTAATATTCTTGAATAGAGGTTTCAAAATATTTTTTCCCTTTGGATTCACAATAGGCTTATTGACTTATTTTTGTTTCTACTTCTCCTGTTTCTTTCAGACATAACTGTTCTTTTTTTCATAATAATAAGTGAAAGCTTATTGTGTTTTATGTCATACCTGCCCTGTATAATATAGCCAAATATAGGTACAAATAATAATGGTTAGGTGTGGGACTGATAGGAAACAGTCGAAAGAAACTGAAGGTAGCTGTACATTTCCACTCAACTCTTTCTCTCGCACAGTTGATCCCGTATAGAGTTTCAATAAAAGCGCATGGCTCATACTAATGCTTTGATCTTTCTCCATCTCATGCTGTTTCGAGACACAGGTCCTGTGGATATATAATGGCCCTCCTTTACACTTGGCGCTACCCCAGTGTTGATGAATGTAGTCTGTGTGTGTGTGTGTGTGTGTGTGTAGTAATGTTTTCCCTGACTTACAAGAGAAGCCGTTTACCTTGAAACTCTGTCAAATCTCCAACCATTACAAACTGGTTCATCCCCTCCAAACATCGGAGCAGGAATCCAACGGCTTCACCGTCTGGATAAACAGGTTTGAAACACTGATGAATGGCCCATAATACCTCCGCCAATCCCCTCAAAAACCCCTGCTTCGATCTCACCACTAAGCCTTTAAAGAGTTCAGACGAAGAGTTCCCAGTAAAACAGTCCAGAAGGAAAGACGTACTGCAGGTTTCTCTGTGATGGCCATGGAGGGGGCCTTAATAGGTTGGCAAGGTGACTCCATCTACATGTGCCTTGTTCACTGGGGTGTGTGGAGTTTAGCAAGTGAGTGTGTGACCTGCAGAGTGCTGCCACAGAATGTATCAGAATACACACCCCTCTAAAGCACGTGGAGTGCTTCATGACTGCTAAAAGTCACACACACATGGCACGATCTCCAGCTGCTTTAAGTCAGATAACTGAAACATATCTAATCTCTTGTTGCCGCGTGTCGGTGCCATCATGCATAGCTGTGGTCCACACACTATGTATACATTAGGTTCCTTAATGCAGCATGTGCTTTCTAAGCCACTTTCACCACCGTTACTGTTCCGACTTGGACTGGAGCTTGTGAAGATGTAAAGAAAGATGGATGGGAGGATAGATAAACTGCTCAGCTATCAAAAGTGACACTTCACTGCCATCTACTGAGCATTTAACATCAATGCGTCTCGTGAAGGCTGAGTTTATTTCAGCATTTATCACATATTAATCTACAATGCTGCATTATCAGTAGCTGAATGCTCCCCCCACTGAGAAACTAAGTGGTATTTGATGTATAGAATTATTTATTACAACATACACACAAATATTCACTGTAGTATAATAACAAATAGTGTTTATTTTTTGGTAAATGTTGTGGCTTATTGTACTCATACTTCATCCTAATAGGTCCAGCCTGAGGAAGTAGTTAAAATCAGGTGAGAAAAAAATGGTGGAGCAACTTTAGACAGATGCAAAACCAGAATACGACAATCGGTACTGAAGGCCCTATTTCACACGTGCCATAGTTTAACAGTGATAATCCGCCTGAGCACATACCTGTTCTCCTCAATGCGCTGCTGTACTGCTCTACATGTACGCATGTCGGTTTGGGTTGTTCGCCCAGTTTCACCACGTTGTGCTGCTGCGTTCATGTCTGGTGATCCTCTCAGGTAGATGCTTGAGAATCTCAAACCATCACCTCCGAATAAAGAGAACACACGCGGGAAGCAAAAAGCAGGGTCTTGATTGATGAGCGAGCAGTAAACCATGAACATGAACGTGAACGACTCCACGTTAAATCTGGTTGTTTATACCAGCGCTTTGGTGCAGAATATTACTCCGCTGCTGGTGGTAACAGACCAGTTTAATCTCGTTTATTTTTCTTTAAAAGGAAGACTGTGTTTGTGCTGTAGAAGATTATCCACATCTTCCATATTGACCGAAGTTACTATCTTCTTTAAAATCAACTTCTGCCAAATGCGAGCCAATCACAACAGCAGACCTACTTGGCAAATAGCCAATCAAATTGCAGCTGGGTAACAGCTGGCGTTTTTGGACACGGGTGTTGTTGTTGTTCCACACTTGTTCCACACTGTGAAGCCCATTAGACAACACCCCCAATATTAAATGATTATATCCAGCCCCTGACCTTAAATTATAAAATGTAATAAATTGATAAATAACAACAGCAACCAATATATTTATTTAAATGTCATGGATTAATTAAGAATTATATTAATGTCTAAAATACTCAGTACTACTAAAACCAGGTTTCTGCTGTCAGCAGGTGGGGCTGTGTCTCAAGTGACCCTGTCTATTGTAGTCAAGATGATGATGTAACTCGAATCTTTATGAACAGCTGTCACATAGAAGAAAGCTTTAATTTAGTATTTGTATACGTAAGTATAGATACATTTAAGGTCAACACCAAGCAACCCTCACTGATTTAGTTAACAAGCATGCTCACAGATTATTCTTTTTGTGACTATACTTGGTTGTGCTTAATGGTCTGCTTATTGTGTCAAGGGGTAATAAAAAAAGAAACACTTGTAATGTGTTACATTGACATTTTGGGACGACAGCAAGAGAAAACAACTGACGATTTTAGCCAGGAACATCTGATTGATCTTTATTTTGCCTTTACAATAAAAATAGAAAGTTTTTGATTTTTAAGACAGCAACTATACATCAGTTAGAATAGAGGAGCCAATGTATCTTTATGTTCCAGAAGAAGTTAACAGTCAAATTTTTCTCTAGGAATTGTTTTGATCAAACATTAAAAAGGAAGAAGAAGACTCCAGGAACCCCTCACAGCATACACCAGGAACATAAAGTACAGGACTGAGTTAGTCACCTGTTCCCGATTCAACATAATACGCTGTGCCTGTGGTCGAAACTCACAAATAAATCTTGAAAATTTGAAGCAGACAATATCAATGGGGGGCAGGAAACATAACGTTCTCCAATACCAGAATAGTGGACTCACGACACAAATGAATCAAAATAAAAACTCTAATCATCGAATTTATTATCCTCACTGCTGAACACTGTTAATAATAAATCTCCTGACATTTTATTTGGATCCCCTGAGAAAATCTGCCCTCATGACACTTTGACTCATCATTTGGTAGTTGTATGCCTTGCAGTCTCTGATCCTAGATCAGCATGGGAAACCAACGAGGACAGAACACAGTGTAAACATTTTCTCAGTGGAATAAGAGGTCAGTTCTGTAACCTGTCTCCATGTGAGAGACGGCTAAAGGTGGCGGATCATTAACTAGCCGTGTGGTAGTATTTAGTGCTACATATCAGAGACCAGACCAGCTTAATAACGGGAAAGGGAACAGATGGGGAGAAATCAGTCCGTTTCCCTGCGTCTGGCCTTGGTTATGGATACATGTAACACAAATATGACTCCAGGAAGACTCTTATTCTGTTAGAGCTGCTGAGGACACAACCAGAAAGTAACACTACTGATTGGATATTAGGATTTGGAAAGCACTGCTCTACATACTAAATCTGGTCTTCACAGACACGATGGCAGGCTTGCAACCAAAATAAAAGGATGGAACAGCACGCCAGTGTACATAGGCTCCCTGGTCAAACGAGTTGAACTTTTTCTAGTTTAATCAACTACCCAAAGACTAGTTTCTGCAATGTGTAGAACAGGTTTTACACGCACAAGTTGTGAGATGACCTACGTGCTTATAAACACAAGCAGGGATTTCAAGTTGCCATGCATGTGTCCCCAAATTTGCCATAGAATCAGTGTTTCCACTGTGTGCTGCCATTGGTGCTTTCTTTTGCAAGTGCTTTTTCCTGCAGCGTAAAAAGAAAAGAACACTCTGAAATGCACTGTTAGTACGGTCACGTGGCTTCCAGCTTTGGCTCTTGCAGTCCAGAGTACTACCGTTGTGCCGTTGTGTACCATAAGTGAGACTCTAGATGGCCAGGAGAAGAAGTTACGTAGAAGCCACTGTTGTGATGCTTTAGTTCCCAACGCATTTAACAAAATCTGAATATTGAGAAGTAAAATTAATGTAGACCTTGATACACAATACAACATTCAGCGGCTTACTTTGGTGTCTTGAATGAAGTAAAAAATACTTTAGCTGGAACGAAGTCTGAACAAAATCAGGTAGGCTACTTCAAACTTAAAAACTGGGCCCATTATCATCCAATGTTAAGATTACAATCAGTATGTTTTACACTGATTGAACCATTTCAACTTTTAGGAATACGTCATTAAAAGTTACGTTAAACACTGTCCTTGGCCGGTGTTAGGGACTATGGGACTTCTGCTAGAGAAATCTGATTTATTCAACATGTTTACACTTCACTGAGTTTATAGTTGTTTTTTTAATAAAAGTGTAGGATCACAATCAAAGTTTGAAATTGCAAAAGTATTGCTATGAGAACAGTGCATAGAGCCAAAATCCAAAGTCAGACTAAAACAAATAAGTCTACTTAAGTAACTTAATAACGGGTCATTTTTTTAGACACTGGGCTCTTGAAATACTGTACTAGAATCGGTCCTCACTGCACCATTAAATCAGAAGAACCTCAGCCTGCAGCGCTTCAAATATATTGCAAATACACTTAAAAAAAGCTTTAGTTTTCATTTTAATGGTAGGAGGTAGGGGAGAAAACGGACTACCTGTTTCTGAATCTACAGCAACCATGTTAATGCACTGCATGTAACACATTCCGATTTTCTTGCAAATACCAACGGTCTCTTTATTTCATAAAAATTATTTTGAGCCACAATCTGTTTTAGAGTGAACTCTGCACATGCTTAAAAATCCCATTGCACAGCAAACAGACCAAGCACCCCAAAAGATTTACTCTCTACAACCACCGTGCCTCACCTGCAGCCCATAATATCGCTCTGTGGTAACACTCTTCTGGTCCGTTCTTGAGCACTAAAGTCTCCGGTGACAAGACTTGGAAAACCCGCAGCAGACCCATCATCTAGACCTGGCTACGTTTTACAAAACGTAAAATGGTTTTACGTTTTGACTATTGTGTGCCAAGAATCCTCTGAAGCATTGTGGTGTTGCTAATAGTTAAGGTCTTCAGTGTTTTGTTCTTTCAAAATGATGTCCTATACATAAAGGCCTCAAGTGAAAGGAAAATGTTTCATAGCAGAAAAAAGAAAACGGGTGCACCCGCCGCCCCTGTTCGGCTTGAAAACAGCAGAGTTCCTTGCTACAGTTGAAATGCAAAGTAAATTGTATTTTATAGAAGTTCACAGCTGCTAGGGCATGTGTATACAAGTCAATTGTCAATTAGAAGTTTCCATGCATATGTTTTAATTGTCAAAGGCATATTCTGGCCATGAAGTTGTTTTAAAGTCCGTTGAGCTGTAGAGCTGCAGCTCGATTGAGGGATCAAGTCAGCCAGTAGAGATAAAAGCCGGTTTTTAGGGGACAATTTAAGTTGAAAGCAGGGTGCAGCATCACAATTGTAAACAAACCTCAGGATACATGCTCACAGCCAACTCAAAAGATCTACATTTCATTAAGAAAAAAAAAAAAAAAAAAAAAAGGAAGGGGGCATAAGAGGGATTTAGAAAAATAATAATGCAGACAGAAAAAGACACATGTCACTGATACTCAAAAGAATGTTATGAAATGCTGGAATGTTGTTAAGATATTCCTGAAATAATATCAGTAGCAATTGCAAAATTAAGCTGTGACGGCTGCAGGTGGATAACTTCATGGTTGAAGCTGACCCTGTCCAGTTTCCAGACTTCTGTTGACCAGCAGGTAAACTGGTAGAGATGTGGGGTGAAGGCTGCAAAGCCACACTGGAGAGTAGCAGTTGGAAGTCCTCAGCGCTGTCCTGGGCATATTAATTCTGGGCTTTGGTGGCAATGACATTTTCTTCATCTAAAGCTTTCAGCACAGTGACCTGAAATGGGAGGCACACAATAAGATTGTGGACTAACTGTCTCACTTTGATTTGTCTGTAGAATAAAGGAACCTTTTATTCTGCCTGAATATCATTCGCCAACTTGTTGAGTTAGCAAAGCATGTTCTAGACTCCAAGGTCTGTCACAAAGCCCAGTGAAAGCCAGGACTAGTCTCTAGAGGAGGGGTCCGATATGATAACAGATTCTTAAGATAGTACTTTAGTATGTATACATAAACTAAGCAGGTAATTAACATCTTCAAGGTTTCTCTTAAAACTAGATATAAAAACAGTCAAATCAATCCAAACTGCTGTCTGCAGACAGTTGTCTACCTCGTTTCACTGCAAGCACAAAACCATGAAAGAATAAACTGATGATCTTAAATCAATTGAAAAGCTGCGTCGAGCCCGCGGTGGAATGCTTGTACATTGTCAGAGGCAGCTCTCGGACACGCGACGGTTAATTAAATGTCAGTGAACACAGCAAATTTCTTGATGTTTACAGTTTCCACTCAGACGTGCAACATATGCAAAGAGAATTAATCCTTTTAAGAGATGTTCCAGTTCAGCCACTATCAGTCAGTCAGAACATTTCATTTTCAGGCCACAGACACTCACCATAAAATTGTCTCCATTATCGAACTTCGTCTGGATTTCTTTTCCCAGGTCGGTGTCTGGCACCTTAAGGTCCTCTCTGATTGCTCCAGCGTCATCCAGCAGGCCCAAGAAACCCTCTGCGACGTCTATAACCTAAATGTGCAATCAGGCAAAGAGCAAAAACAGTTAACCGTTAAAAACATTAGGATTGTGGTTGATATATATTTTTTTTTTACAGTACCGGTCAACCTAACCCGAGGTGGAACATAGGTTTTTCTAATTACTCAGAGGCCGTCAGGATTGTCACATCTTTCCGAGGTTGGAGGCCCCTGTACACATAAAACATGCAAACATGAACGCCCCCGCCTACATAATATACTATTAATACACTTAAATTCTTACATAAAAGTTTTACATTCTAATATTTACATTTTAGTCACCGTTATTGAAAACATGGCATGAAAGAGTTAACTGCATAAAAGATAATGGAGATTGTACATTTGTTGATTAGTATTTCTCAATTCTCAGTGACTTCAAGAACAACAAGTTCTTGTATTTATACATTAATCAAATGTGTAGGCTAACTGCCTTTGTAATTCTCAGAAACTTGCCGATTCCAAAAAATACAATTTATACAAAATAACACCAGTATAATGTGTGATATCACACACATTATGTGCATGTTTATTACACTACGACACACTGTCCCAACTGACCACGGGCGATGCAACACTGTGCAGCCCGCTGTTTTGAGCTGATTTTTGTCGGACATACAGTTTCTATTTATAGCTTTTGTTCACTTTCAAAAGCACCGCAATGGACGAGGAACGGCTGACTGGTCGTAGTTTTCCCTGACCGACAAAGTGGTTCTACCCGCCAGCACCGACAACTTACCTGTAGGTGCAAATTTCAGTGTTTCAGAAATACACCATGGAAAATAAAATGTTATTTATAAGAATATGTTGCAACACGAAAAAAATAATGTATATTGACAATAAAGCACGGAGCACAAACTCAGGTTAACAAAACTGACCCAAAACTAAACCTAGACTTCCCACCAATACCAACACAAACATTGTTTAAAGAGAATTTCTATCCCTGAAGAGGCTCTAACCAGGGCCAAAAAAAACTGCTCGTTGGCCAAGCCAAAACATGTTCAACCAGTTCTAAACCTGTACATCCTTTCACAACTACTGAAGAGCCAGCTTACCTCCAATGCATGCGACACACCCGTTTAGCAATCGAAAAAGTATTTATTTTCATACATCACACTTTCTTTTTAGGATGAGGTTATATCAATTTCAAACACATCCTAAGTATAAATAGATGCCCCAGTGGCCTAAACAAATGCCAAACACTGGGCAGGGAAACAATTATTGACAATATCCACTTTGCAAATGCCGAGTACCCCTGAGTGTCCCTAGGTCACACCGAGTGATCCAGAGGAGTCGTCTCACCTGGTAGTCTTTCCTTGTAACATGTGGGACATCCATGTTATGGGTAGATGGGCAGATATCTTCATACTTCTTCTGAGTAAAGATATCAAGTCCTGTAAGATGAACCTGGGGGAGAAAAAAACAACTGTTTCAATCTGGTCACGGGGTCAAGTAAGCATTGGGGGTTGCTTGAATAATTGGGGAAACAAGCTAAATCTCAAATGGGCCTTAAGATCTGAATTCCAAATGATGCAACAGGAGGTTTTACCTTGGCATGTCCATGCTTGCCGGTCTTAGAGGTACTCATTTCCATGATCTTACAGGGACGTCCTTTGATCATGACAAAGCCATTCTTCCTCAAAGCAGAGCACTGCTGTGGGAATGTTGAGGAGGCCCCAGAGTGCCCACATGCGAAATCTTCATCCCCCATGATGGGCTGTTGTACACCACCCTGATAACAAACATAAAATGACTGTGACACTAGAATTACTTCAATATGAGGAATGTGTGTGGTACTAAGAACTATTTTTACAAAAATAATCCTTTACGAAAAATAATAATTGTGTGGTAGCTGGTGAGCACAGATATGCAACACATGGAACTAGGACTACAACCAAGACCAGACCAGCTTCGACACCTCAACCGCTGTCACAAAGGAGTCGACAGTGGTTGGGCCATAAGTGCTTCAAAATCAATAACCTGAAATCAAAGAGGGAGATTGGCAGTAAGTGCTTTGCTGCACATTGCTCAACATAAAAAAAATGCTATCCACCCAAGTTATCACTGATACAATTTTAGACGCGTTTTATGTTAAAACATGAATTCCCCACACTTCCGTACAAATAATTATCCAAGGTGGGGCAAACATAGCTCACTGATCAACGCATCTGAAAAGCTAACAGCTAACGTCAATTGCTCTCGTGTCGAATTTACTTGTCGCCATGTTGTTACACACTGTTCGGGGGGCAATACCCAGCGAGTTAGCGTTAAACACGTAAGTTACATTATTAGTTCATTGCCTCCATAAAATCAACCACAATTGGTTCGAATTAGCGTTACAGTGGCTGGGCAGATTTTGTTAGTAAGCTAGGAAACACCCATATCTAACGGTAGTTAGCTATGTTACGTGGCAGTTGGGCCAAAAGAGGCTACTCGGTAACGTTAGCATACAGCTAGCTTTAGGTTGCCACCTCGTGTATTTTGTCATCGTTAGCCACATTAGCATGCTAACACTAGCCGTACCCATTGACACAGGCTAACGACACTGCTGCTAACGCTAGCTAAAATACGGTGCGAACTTATTTGAATCGTTCACCAAACATAGTCTCATTTAGAAGTTACTGATTAACCACCGAGGCGACAAAATATTCCCAGTATTGTACATAATTTAACGCGTAACTACACCGCAAAACAATAGGTTAAATATCACTTATAAAGCGCCTATGTTTAGCTTACCTTTTGTCTTGCTTACAAAAAAAAAAGGGAGAGTCACTTCGCATGCGTAGAGGTTTTGTACCGCAGGAGGAGCAGAGAGGGCAGGTACGGGATCCGGGTGACGATGTGCATGGAGGGGGGAGGAGCTCGCTCATAGAAATCATGGGACGGTGCAGTGGCTGTACTGTGGAACTGTGACGGAAATAAAGATCCTGTATGTTATCATAATTAGATTATGATAAATATTAGATACTATTTCATAATTATGAGGTGTTATCTCATATTTATGACTTCGTTTTTCATAATTAGGACTTACTATCTCATTATTATGAAAGATAGTACAGCACAGTTTCTCCAGTTATTCTTTTTTTTTTTTGTTTTTCTTTTTGTTTGTTTGTTTGTTTGTTTGTCTCTACCTTGTAAAGCGTCTTTGAGTATCTAGAAAAGCGCTATAGAAAATTGATTTATTATTATTATTATTATTATTATTGTGAAATACTATCTCAAAATCAGGACTTAGCAACTCATAATTAGGATTTATTATCTCATAATTAGGATTTACTATCTTATAATTAGGATTTATTTTCTCATAATTAGGATTTACTATCTCATAATTATGAGATACTATATTAAAGTCATTATTTTGAGAAAGTTTCTCATTATAATGACTTACAGGATCTTTATTTTTTTCATCACAGAATCAGCTTTATTGGCCATGTATGTGTACGCATATAAGGAATTTGACTCCGGTTTTTCATTGCTCTCCACAGAATTTACAAATAAACAGGGAAAATATATAAATGTAAAAAATTAAAATAGGGCAAGAAAATAAATAAAAAGTAGAACAGATGTAAGCATAAACATTTAACGACTATGTACAGTATAAATATATATCCAAAATATATATATATATATATATATATGAACATAAACCTATACAACAACAGTGTCAATGGAATTGAGGCGATGGTGCAAATGGAGGTAATTGTGCAGTATGACTGATTAATTGTTCATGCACATCGCACCCGGATCCCGTACCTGCCCTCTCTGCTCCTCCTGCGGTACAAAACCTCTACGCATGCGACGTGACTCTCCCTTTATTTTTGTTCCAGTGATGGAAATGGGCTTCCATACTGTACAGAACTATGTACCTGCCAGTCACTGCATACTTTAAATCCACCACATTTATTTGACAGCCTTAGCTGTCAAATTTACAAATTTTAATTTTACAAACAAAACATGTAGTTATCTAATAACACATTGTTGTAGAATAAACAACCAGATATAATATACAAAACTTAAAATGGGACGTGATGAGTCTGCATACAGACTCACACCTGGTCCTCTGGTGTGGTCAGAACAACCTGGAGCTGAACAAGCTGAAAACTGTGGAGATGACAGTGGACTTCAGGAGGAGCCTTCCAACACTCATCATACTCAACAGCACTGTGTCTGCGGCAGAGACCTTCAGGTTTCTGGGATCCACAATCTCCCAAGACCTGAAGTGGTCCTCCAACATCGCCAGCATCTCAAAAAAGGCCCAGCAGAGGTTGTACTTCCTGCGCCAGCTCAGGAAGTTCAACCTGCCTCAGGAGCTGCTGATCCTGCTTTACTCCTCTATCATCCAGTCTGTTCTCTGTTCTTCTATCACTGTGTGGTTTGGATCGGCCACTAAACAGGACAGAAACAGACTACAACGGACTGTCAGGTCTGCAGAAAAAATCATTGGTGCCAGCCTGCCCTCCATCCTGGACTTGTACACCTCCAGAGTCAGGAAACGGGCAGGAAAGATCACTGCAGACCCATCACACCCTGGACACAACCTGTTCCAACTCCTCCCCTCTGGTAGGCCTACAGAGCACTGTACGCCAAAACCACCAGACACAGGAACAGCTTCTTTCCGCTGGCCGTCACTCTCATGAACAATTATTCAGACATACTGCACCTCCATTTGCACTACTACCACCATTCTGCACTAATATCCCAAATCCATTGTCCATGTTGTTGTTCTTTATGTTCATATATATTCTTCGATATGTATTTATATTCTACATCAGTTAACTGTTGATGCTTAGTTTCTCTGTTCTACTTTGCCGTCTTTAATGTCCTTGTTTATATATTTTTCTTGTTTATTTGTATATTCTATGTATGTACGTTGAGAGCAATGTGAAAACCGGAGTCAAGTGCCATGCATGCATACGCATACATGGCCAATAAAGCTGATTCTGAAATTACTTCCACCTTTTGTTGCTGGGTGCTGTGTCTTTGGGTTAATGAATCTGTCTGAAAGCAGAGTTATTGGGCTGTGGTGTCGGTTACTTTACTTGGATCTTTTCAAAGCCACTAGCTATAAAGCAATGAGGATTCCCTAAAAAACAGTGCACTATTGGATTTATATTAAAGTTCCCTGCTCCCAAGCCCCCCTGCAAAAAAAGGAAAAGTTTAATCATTTGATTATTAAAATCACATCAGCTGTTCAATCCAAAATCTATGACTTTGCAGATATGCAAAAAAAAAGCAAATATTTGTTGTTTCAAAAGTTTAATTGCTGAGAGTATTGGTCGCGCATGCCTGCCTTAGCAGGTTTAAGGTTAGCATAGAGAAACATCCCCTCTTCAACAGATCAACGTGAAAAAAGTGTCAGAGACTCACACATACTGTACACCAACTACAGTGAAGGCCAAACACTCAAGAGAAGTAACAATATGCAAAACACATTTTGCAAGTGAAGTCTTGCTTATGATCATATTTTAAGACAGAAAATGGTGGAGGAGTAGATAACACAATAATAAATTCACAATTCTATTTTTTTAACTGCATTTATTTGAAGGTAAACCTGGAGAAACAAGTAGTAGTGGAAGTGAACAATAAAACAATAAATGACGCCATAAAGCTCAGGGGAACTGCAGTCGGGTCAAAAATCTCTGTAGGTTCAAAAAAGCCCTGTCACACACAAACAGGCATGTAATAAAATATTCATAGCCACTTTAACTATACATGGTCACAATACTGAAAGTTTATACTTGGATTAAATGTAAACCCCACTCCATATAACATAAACACAATATTGTGAGTCACTGTTGGTTTTTGTGTAGCACATGATTAAAAAATGTCATCTAGTGTAAAGACTCCTTCATTTATCAAGTAATTATAATACTACATGGATAAATGTACAAAAACACATTTGAAATAGTGACAGCTGAAGACGCCCTTGCACATGCATACAAATAAACCACACAAACACGCTGTTGTTTCAAGCATCTGTGGATGTTTTGAGCTCCTGCAGTTCAGTACCATTTTTGGGGCCCTGTGCCAACTTCTTCCGGCCCTTGTGGAAGAGAGCAGAAATCTCCTCAAAGGTTTTGCCCTTGGTCTCGGGGACCCGAAAATAAATATACATGGTGAAGCCGAAAAGCAGCACAGCAAACAGGATGAACACATAAGAATTCAACCAAGTCTGAGAAGAAAAACAAAGAAAAAGACAGGAGTCAGGAGAGGCAGTGTTTCTGATTTTGTGAGTTTACAGTACATATGTATATCCGCGTTATTCTGCCTACCTGTATATACGGAAAGGCCATGGCTACGGCAAAGTTGCTGGTCCAGTTGCAGCAGCCAGCTAGAGCGATGGCTGCAGGCCGAGGTCCCTGACTGAACAGTTCAGCAACGATGAAAAATGGGATGGGACCAGGACCAATTTCAAAGAAACTCACGAAGAGGAAGACAGCTGACATGCTGACGTAGCTCATCCACAAGTATTCATTCTGGACAGAAGAGTACATCAGTCAGGGTAGTATCCTGATTACTTATATTACAAATGCACTGAGTTTGAAACATGTTGGCATAGGATCTGTGTATGCAAGCAACACAGTGTGACACACAGTTTACTTATGGAGGTACGGTATTGGACATTTTTGCTCTATGTAAAGCAAGCACTACATTTGTTTTCTTTAAAGACAAGAGCGATAGAGGAATGGACTTGCATTGTCATAGATTTCCCATCCTCAAAAATGTTACAAATTTAATTTGACAAAAAAAAAAAAAAAAAATCTTGTTCACCTGTTATCTGCAGTTCTTTACCGCACATTGGATAAGTATATAAAGTGCTTAAAACAAAGAAGGTCATGGTACCAGTGTACAAGATGGCAGCTGAGCTATACGAAACGGATCAAACTCCATCTGCTGATGAAGACCATGAGATGCAGTTGAAAGCTCCAGAAAAAGCTGGCAAGTGGACCTTGAGTTAAGTTTTTTTTTTCTGTTTCCAAGGTTCCAAGAATGAGCTTTTGCGCTCATATTGACAATATCAAATATGTGACGAATGTGAACGTTCTGCAACTTAGCCTTACACAGATGTTATGGTGAGAAACAGGACAGGACATTTAGAATGAGCGAAGCTGCTTAACGAGTCAGTTAATAGAGGGGGTAAAGAGCAAAGTAAACTATATCGCAGGCCATGCCAATACATATGAACAGCCCCATGAGTGCAGCTCAAGTTCTTGATAGACTAAAGCTCTGACACCTGATTGAACAAACCTGTAATTTGAGGCCCACTGTCATGGCAACTGCACAGCAGCACATCCCTCCTAGTCCAACCAGAGTCAGAGTGCGCCTGCCAGCCTTGTCCACCAGCGCAACCTAGAACATACAGTACACCGATTATCTGTGAGTTTGTGTCTACGTAAGTGTGTGGTTAGAAGTAACAAGAGAGAACCCAGTGCGATGCTCATGGTCGAATGTCCGTGAGTGTTTATACGTGTCGGTTTGTTTTGCATCTGGAGCTACTCACAGACACCAGAGTGAAGACTACGTTGAGGACTCCGACTCCTATAGTGGCGAAGGCTGGCTGAGGGACACCGGCCCGAGTAAAGATATCCGTAGAGTAATAAAAGATCTTGAAGACAAAACAAGGAGCTGTTTGTGTGTTTGCTTTGCTGTGTTTGTGGCAGGTATATGTATACGTTACAGTCATACAACAGAGCAATACAGATCTCATGTACTATACATTTTCATGCACATAAACGAAACCCAGTCACTGCTGATGTGCACATACAGTATGCTCTGACAATGAAACCAGGATTTTCCAGCCATTTTAACATGTCATCAAAATCACTGTGATTTCAATTTAACTTGAGCAAACCGAATGAGAGGCACAATATGGCAGAGTTGCCGTTAATTTGCCACTCACTGCATTGATGCCAGACCACTGTTGGGAGAGGTGCATCATGAGGGCAACAAACAGCTGCTGTCTGTACAGGGAGGAGCGGATCTAGGAGGGAATACAGAACAGTACATTATTTGTCACTGCAATGGTTTTCTTAAGTGCACAACTAGAACACATACATTTTTGTTTAAGCTATGACCACATGTGGATCTCTTGTCCGATATCTCCTGTCCTTCTTTAAAGGAGTATGAGAACTCATGTTTATCTTATTGTCTGCTGTTATGCATGAAATTAAAAGTGTTTTAATGTGTTTTACGATTGCAGAAATCTATTTGGTTTTCGAGTGGGAGCCGACCACAGTGGGACGACATCATCTGCAGCCCTTTCACAGGAAGTGTATTTCCCATTGATTGAATAATCTCTAAAACCAAATATTCTATCACTTTAGATAGGATGTGGAAAGCACAGTTATAAGAGCTTTTAATAAGAAATAGCCGTACATAACTTGAAGCATGTCTTCATTTGCAATACTCTGTCGTTGAAGCGTTAAATCTCATCTTTCCAGATCATGCCTCAGTCGCCCGGTCTGTTGAGGCACTGGTTTGAGCTTTTATGTTTTAACATTTGACTATCCCCGAGCCAGTACATGAGATCATCAGGATACTTTGGTTGCTGATTCATTTGGGCGGCTGAGAGATTGTCCCTGTCCGCCCTGAGGAGGAGTGCTATGATGAACTTATGTCTATTTTTCAGGACTATTCTAGTTCTAGTGTAATGAGAGTGATCTGCTCAGGGAGTTCATCACCTTATTCTAAAACCCTAAAATCAATTTTCTTCAAAATTGTCGATGGAAAAATGAAAGCAGACTTCACAAGATACAATATGTAGGTAGTGGCAACATATCTCAAGTGAGCCTCTTCCTATATAGAGACTTACCAAGGAAAGGATAGAGACCCTGGGCTCCCTGTCTGCCTCCTCTTTCTCTCTCCTCATCTCTTCCAGATCCGCAGATGCATCATACGGCCCTTTTAGACGATACAGACCTGCAACACAACCCAGAGCAAAGGTAAACAATAGCAAGAGTCTGTATCAATAAATTTGCAGTCATTTTTGAGATCCTGAAGTAAAAACAGCACCATAGTGTAAATATGAACCATTACAAGTAGCTTTCAAATTAAGTGAAAGTACGCAAGTCAGCAAAATTAAAGGAATAGTTCTGCTTTTAGTTTTTTTTAAATACACTTATTCACCTTCTTTTGGAGAGTTAGATGAAAATATTGACACTCATGTCTGTACTGTAAGTATGAAGGTATAGCCAGCAGCCTGTTAGCTTAGCTTGGCTTAAAGAATGGAAACAGGGTGAAAGAACTACCCGGTCTCTGTCCAAAGAACAAATCGGCCTACCGGCACCTCTTAAGTAATATATTAAATCCTTTAACATGATATATCTTGTTTGTTTAGTTGCGCAAGTTGTTGTGAATGCAGCCATAGTCTTAAATTTAGCAGTCAAATATTGATCTACTTATCTAACTCTGCATGAAAGTGAACGAGAGAGATTCCTAAATTGCTGAACTATTGCTTTATAGTCTCTTGTGTAGTCTAGATAGGCAACTGTAAACTGTATGTTTCTGAATAATTGAGCTGATTGTGATTTCAATAAGAGAGCACTAGAGAGAGAAAAAGGGGTGAAACAGAGAGTTGCTGTGTGTAACTCTTACTTTTTTTAGCCTCTTGCTCCTTGCCCCTTATAATGTAAAGGTACCGGGGGCTCTCAGGGCATAGAGGCAGCAGGAAGGTTTGTAATACGGCCGGAGCTCCAGACAGACCAAGCAACAGGGGCCACATATCATCATTGCCAAACACAAAGTCCAAGCCTATGACCTACATTCACACACAAACGAACCACACAGTTTAGGATATATGTTAAGATTGTCATCAAGCAAATATGCGGCTGTGCACCTCACCTGGCTGATTAGGATGCCAGTGACAGCTGCCACCTGGTGTAATGTTCCCAGAGCCCCTCTGTAAGCCTTGGGTGCAATCTCTCCAATGTACATAGGCACTAGCCCAAGTGTCAACCCTGAAACCCCCACACATCATGACTTTAAACAAACATTCGCTTACGGATATATGGCAATGTTAGAGGGCAATTTAGGAACCCTTTTAATTTCCACAATAATTAGCTTTCATGAAGGTGAATATTCCGAATAATAATGAGGGCAACCTTCCTCAAATATAGTATATGACCCATAAAAATTGGGATTTCCAACTAAATGATGTGAGCATCAATTGAAGGTTACAGCATGCTTTAATGTACCACAGTAAAGGCCCATAACAGCGCGGCCGGAGATGATCATGATGTGAGTCTTCCACATCTTGGAAAGACCCATGAGCAGTCCGGCAGTCACAGCCAGAACATTGATCATTAACAGGCCCTTTATCCTGCAAGACAGGGACAGAGAAAGGTGGCAAAAGGGAGATACGGAGAAAGACAGATGATGGATAAGAGCACCAGCACCATGGCATTATTCTATATTGATGCCGGTTCAACTTCAACTTTGAAAGTCTTTTCAAAATAACGTTTACCTCCATCTCTTCTACTCCCATCCCACTTCATACGCCATTATTTTACTCAGTTATTCCCTTTTCCATTTTCATTCTTTTAGTCAGTGTCTGTATAATTGTATCCTTCCTTCCTCACCTCCCTCTCAGGTCTCCCACAATTCCCACCAGGAAGGAGGATAACATGCCACCGATGGAGAAGACTGCCACCGACAATGACCAATACATGACCACGGCAGGGTGTTGCCCCGCCTCTGGGAACCCGTCTTCTTCTGTGATGTTTCCTGACAGGACAGCGGCCCTCTCTGACCACACCCCCAGCGTCCGCCCATAATGCTTTTCAATGACCTATGACACAGGCATGTTTATTGGACATCAAGAGGAGCAATCGCGGCTGCACAAACAGAGACAGATCAAAAGGCAGACACAAAATATATGCAAACACATATCGTGAGCATATTTTCTGAGTAATTAGGGAAGTTTCATGGTTCTATCTATTAGTTAAAAATGTCGCTATTCACTTGTGGTGTCTCCCCGTTACCAATTCAGTTGCCTGAGACCCACTGAAAAGTACATACACATTCTCCACCAATCAGGAGGGACCTTCTTGGCCCTATGACCCTTTGCCCTATATGGCCACCAACTACCACAACATAGAAGAAAAGAAACAAGCTTGACATATTTCCAAGCAACACATCTCAACATCAACACCTCCAAAATGTAGGTGATATACATTAATACAACACCTCCAGCACCTGTTTGAATAAATGGGTTTGTAGAGAACTTCATTTTATTTCAGCAAATTTATCAGCAAAGACGACAAGGGGACAGAAGAACATCAAGGCAAGTTTGGGGAAAGTCCATGGAGGAAGTCCAAGCAGTACAGCCTAAAAACAAAGGTCTATCTAAAAAAACAGACAAAGATAAACGTTCCTCCTCACATACAGTTCTAAATGTTGAAGGGACACTAAAGCTGATATGAAGAGAATTAAGACATTCCACAATGAATGCCTGAGGTTGGGTCAATGTGCTTTGAACGTCCTATTTGGATGTACTGTATGGTCTCTGTCCTGAACAATGGCCACATGAGGTCTCAGCTTTAATTGGACGACACTTTGACATAAATGGCTGCCAACAGAGAGGGAAGGATGTCTCTTGTCTGCCAGAGCTTCTTTTTCAAGTTTCTCTACACACTCTGGGATGTAATCCACCGTGGGGCCAATAAAAGCTGACTTTGTCACCAAGGCTGGGCGGTATTGAAAGGACCTGTCTGCGGGGGCAGTAAAAGAGGACAATGCTATCCGATCTGAACTGGAGCAAGTCTTAATCAGATCAGTCCATGATAAGCAACTATGTGCTAAATATGACAGCGGCTTGCAGCAGAGAGACATTTCAACTCATCTCCCACTCAACAAGACATTTGTTTGGTGGAGAAGCACCCAAAGTCCGTGTCATTACAGAGCAGAGAATTTCAGACAGCTTGCAAAGTTTCAAATGAAACAATTCTCGGTTAGGTATACAACACAATTTGGATAGGAAAAGGTAAGTCTGTTCCTTTGTATTACGTTATCTCCAGTGTTGTAGAGAAGTGTATACAGAGAACTTACTCTTGTCTTTTAGCGCAAATGGTCATAGGGTGGAGTAAGCTTATTCAGACTGGCTGTTTTGCATGCAAATATCAGTATGCTGAGGCAATTGGATGGTCCAGTAAGGGAGCGAAGACTTTTGTTAAAGTATAGAGCCTACCTTCTGGGGCGCGTTGATGACTCCAAGACTGTAGCCGTACTGCAGGGACGACAGAACTGCTGTGAACACAGCCAGAGCCAATGTACCCGTTAGCTGCTGCAGGAGTGAAAAGTAGTCATTTAGACACACACACACACACGGATGCATGAACAAACACACAATCTAATGTGCGCGAGAACATGAGTCATTTAGCTGTACTCACCGAGTAGACGGTCACAAATAAAAGTGCACATAGAAATGAAAAATAATGCTTTATCCACATTATTGATCGACTTATTCCTGCTTTATGCACTAGTTCTAAAAATCTGAAGAAGGCTTGGAGGTTACATAAGGATGCTTAAATGAAAGATTTTGCATGTGCTTTATTTACAGTTGATCTTCTTGTGGCAGACACATAAGAATGCAATTCATCACAATCTCAACACACTGATGCATAGAGGGCTGGTGGTTTCTTCAGGTCCGAGCGGTGAATGTAACCTAAAGCTTCATATGTCGGCAGTACAGTGAGATCAGCCGCCTGTTTGCAAATACTGCTTTTAGGATTTAGAATGAAGAGGTAGAATATATATAACCATTATATGAAATGCATGTTAAGAACGTATTTGCCAAGAATTGCCTTACCTTTCCTGACTCCATGATGGGTCCAGAGTGTCGGCCAGGGGGTTGGTAATGATCAATGAAAGCTGCATGCTCGACCACGCTGTGTCCACTCGCTAATCGACTGACACATGCATGCACACATGCACATTGATACACACGCATACACACATATCTACAGTGCTGACAGAACCCTTTCACACAAATGAAGCAGTGATCTTATTCATCCTCTATATACACAAACAAACACATTACTATTGGAGGGAAGCACTAAAATGATAATCACTGTCCAAAGACACACACACACACACAGTCTGGATTCAATTTCTTCGCAAAACACTGGTTTTGGGTGTGTGTGGCGTTTCATAATGGTACATTATGAAACACGACAACACTGGTTTTGGGTGTGTGTGGTGTTTCATAATGGTACATTATGGACAATGATGTACCGTATTTTGCAATTAATAATGGAATGCAAAATTACTGGCAAATAGCACAGTTGCTGCTGGGATTCAAAGTTGGGATTCTCTCTCTCTCTCTCTGAGACACACACACACACGCACGCACACACACACACACACACACACACACACACAAACACGCACACACACACACACACTCTTACTGTTAATGATATACTTGAGGGACGGACACAAAGTCTGAGGGTCAAAGCTGATACAAATGTGCAAACTGGCAAAAATAATCTCTCACGAACACGTCCACAGAAAAAAATGACAACTCCAGAAGCATTAATGCTCTAGTTTCATTTATTTCTCTCTTACAGTATCTCTGTTACAAAACAAATGAATCCCAAAACATTAGTAATGCTCTTTCAAAATAAAGAAAACAAGAAATAAACAGAATTAAGAATACAGTGGTTTCGTCTTTGAAAGGAGAGTCCTCAGTATAATGACCGTCAGCCTTTTCCAATGGGAAGAGTGAATTCTGTGATAGACAAACATAAAAATAATAATAATGCCCGATTCACACTTGCTCATTAATCATACACACAACTGCATGCGTGCACACACAGGGAAGACAGTGGTTTTCTTCAGCTCGGCTATTTATTGTTAACATGTTAGCCTGCTTCCCCCTAACAGAGATCGGTGAACCTTACTTGCAGCTGTGCAGGAGCAGCTACTGTGTGGATGTGTAAAAAGTCCTTGAAAATGTAACTGAATTTAAAAAAATTATAATTTAACAGAAGGAAAACTTGATTTAATTCATTGAGTCTCTTTGTGTCACCTTACGTTTGCTAACCATAGGCCAACATGGCAGGCCAAAACTGCAGTATATCCACCAGAAAAAAGACTAATCTGCATTACAGTGCTCTCCAATGTGGATGAGTATGCATAAACTAGTCCACCCTCAGTGTTACACATTTAATACGGTATGAATTAATGATAGAGAGATAAAGTATTAAGAAAGAAATTGCACGATTTTATCATACCATACTCAGTTAATCCTTTCAAAGAATAAATCAAGTCTTAAATGTGTTAACTTATATGTCAATTAGAAGAGACAAATAACATCAGCAACGTGTTAAATTAGACAATAACACACACACACACGAATAAAAACTGTGTCAATTAACTGTATAGGAAATAAAATGATTAATTATAACATCAGCGATAATCTTTTGACCTCCATTTTTGTTTTGCTTACATCATGCTAGGCACTGTACAAACAGGAAGGAGCCAAACTCAGAAGGACCAATCAGGGAAGAGCATGATTCAAAAGGACACCACAGCTTTCAATAATGAGATCTTTCACATGCACACAGTGTTCGGGATTGCAGGTCATATTCTGTTGAGGTTCAATTCAGGATAAGCATCTTCATATTCCCTACAGCAGCATGGCTGTATTTGTAAATAGCCAAAACGGCAAAACACTTCCATCAATCAACCACCAATATTGCCAATCTTTAAATGCTTGATGTTCAGACACACCAACTCAAAAACCTCATACTAAGAAGATAATACCATAGATCTGCATGTAAACACACTCAATGTTGCTTTGATCACATTCAGCTAAAAGTTCACGCACATAGACTGAATTACTTCTCTCTTTTTTTTGGACATTGGTTTTAATGTACCACTTTGATTCAAACTTGATTTGAATGGGACTCGTTTCAACACCAAGTCAAACACACACGCACACACTAACACACTAACACACACATTGACATACACTCCTGATTTCAGAAACACAGATATGCTGTACATTTCATCACGCTTCAAAGACCGACTGACTCAGTCACAGAAAAAGAAAAGAACAGAAATAAAAAAGAATGAACAGAATGACGCTCTCATTGTTCATTTAATATTACAGTATATCTGATGCAGCACCTTCAGAGTTTAAAGACGTCAGAGTGAAAACAGGGAGTTGGGAGTGATGATGACGATGGGGTGGCGGTGACAGGAGGATGGAAATAGGAAATAGGGACGGGCCAGTGATTTTGTTTTAAAGGGACACAGACATCATCTTTGCATACTGTGACAACCTGTGACAGCAGATTGTCTCACGGCATCTCGATCAGCGAAATGCGATCGAACACTAAATCACAATTCGGTTTACTCGGGGCCCGAAACGATGGCGAGAAGAGGAAGTGGAGGAGGAGAAGGGGAGTGACTCGGGTGAATGAAAATCTATCAGGCTGTCTGCTTTCACCGCCGACACCCAGAGTCGATTTGTCATCCCTCAGCTGCCCTGTCATATTCAAAAGTATAAATTTGAATTTATATTAAATCTTATTCATCTTTTCCTCCGACCTCTGAGGTGTAAGTTCTCCGGGAACAAGCCCACCTATGGCAGATAGGAAGTGAGGAAAACGGAGGACATAGGTGTCAAAGGATTGAAAAAGTGATGACTAGATCTAGTAGTAGAGGATTAAGAAGGGGGGACAAAGGGAAGAAGAGAAGAGACAGGAGGAGGCCGGCGTTTTTTTGAGTGTATTTCTACAACAGTTTAACACTTGAATGCAGTTACAGACGGAGGAAGAGAATATTTGGAAAGTCAGTGGCACCAGTTTGCCAGTCAGTTGAGAGACGGTGGCTTCTGCATCACCCGACACAATCTAGGGCGCCATGGCTCTTCGTTTAGAAAAGATCTTTGTTGTTTTTTTCTCTACGATAACTTCTTTTGTTGTCCTACGTGGTTTTAGTCTCTCGAGTGTTAAAAGACTTCACTTGTGGCTTCTCGGTCAATCTGGTTCGTTTGTGAGAGGAGTGCCGTGGGCCAAGGTGTGCGGCCGGGCAGGCCAATTGGAGAGTGAGGCAGAGTGGACAGTGGGAAGAGCCCTCACCAGTTCATCATAGAGTTTCTGTTGAGGGTCATGAAGAAAACTTGGCTGCTACCTCCCGAACGCACCGAAGCAAAGAATACCTACAGAGAGAGAGAGAGATATATATATTAAAACCACAAACTGTTTCATTTCTCATTTCGAAATATAATAATTTATCAATATCTGCAGATCACAAATAACTCTAGTTATGAAATCTCAGCATAAGAATAAGTTTTGGTTAGCTTAGAATGAACCCTTCATATCTACAAAGGGAGCGGGTCCTCTTCACGGAGTCCGCCATGTTGCTACAGTAGCCCAGAACGGACAAACCAGAAACGGGCTCTACTCTAGCGAGAGCCTTTTGCATTTTTAAATCATCTGAAGGCCGCCGTAGCTGTTCGACATGCTAGTGAAACTGCAGTGTTGTTAGTGCTAAACCGTGGTACCGCCCACCTTCCATTGCTCCTAAAGTAGTGTCATTATGGTAAGGACGGTTTTGCACTCGGTGGCTCACTGCAGTCTTGGAAAGGGAAGAGAATGCGGAGGGGTATTCAGTTGGTTGCAATGTGCAACCACACCCCTAGATGCCGGATTATTCTTCACTTCCCTTCAAGGCTTTTATGTTCATGCATCTTAGTTTATAAGTGCACTGTAGGTGTCAGCTTTTACACACTGTGGATATGCAATATCAGTATAAACTCTTCATGCACACAAATCATTTATTTTTGTTTAAATGCATGTTTCTGTACACACATCTGCTCACATTTGCATAGACAAAGTTGAATCTATGAAACACCCCCAATAAAAATGTAATAGACATTATCTGCTGCCTTATCTGAACTTGAACATGTATTACCTGATATAGCATTGAAAGAGTGCTTTTTGTTTCTATGGGCCTGTGTGAGATCTATGCAAATTATACCAAACTTCATACACACAATCAATGTTTCAACAACTTGTGGATATGCATGGGGTTTTTCCCTCCATATTTTGTCACACATACTGTAAGTATACTTACTTTTTTGAGAATTATGTCTTTCTACTCAAATCATTTCCAAGCAACAGATACGATTAACTGAGAATTTTTTCTTTTTACCTTGTCGTTCCGCTCACAAAGGAATTTGAGTCTCTGGGCTCTCTTGTGCATAAAGACTCCATCCAGATGACCGGTCTCCACAGAGCGGATCTCTATGGCTTTCTCACCCCAGCCCATAATCTGATTCGAGTGGATGTAGGCTGCGGAAGAGAACACACAAAGACAAGCATAAATGACAATGGGAAAAATATTAAAATATATATCTATAACATTCAGTTCACAACTGCATGATGTATAAATACACTAATAGAACATCCAATAATCAAGAGCATACAAATACACAATGTAGAATCCAGATTCATTGGCACTAACCTAAATGATGGAAGCTTTAAGAGTGTAATACCACTGGCTGTCACATGAGGGCAGTGAAGTACTTTCCTATTGAAACAGTGCTCATACATACAGGGCATGTACAGTTTCTTTGTTGTTCTTTCGATCTCTTGGTTGCCCCCTTTCTCTTCTCTTCCCTGTTTCTTACTCCCTCACTTTCCCGTTTACACTTACATTTGATCATGTATATCCATTTTACATCTTTCTGAACAATTTTAAGCTCACTGCCCCCTCCTTCTTCTTTCTTGTTGCTTCGAAGCAGCTCCAGAAGCCTTCCTATGAAGGCTGATGTTATGAACTGATTTTTGAATCCAATTAAACCTCAAATGAACCCCCATAAGTTCAGTTCACGAGACGTTTCATCTGCACTGCAACACACTTACACAGGCACTGAAATGGGTATTAGAATATATCTATATTTTTAATTTACATCTTTGAACTGGGTGTTTCTCTATGATGTGTTCATTGCTCCAGTGTTGATAAAAATCCTCTTAAATGGGCTTAACGCACAGTATACAAATATTCATGTCGGGGGGACGTACCAACAGAGGTAGGCATCTCTCCCCACTGTAGCACCACGTCCTTGGTGATTCGCCCGTAGGTGTTGACGTAGACGCCCTCGTCCTCGTAACACAGCAGCATCTCCATTCCATCAGTTTTAGGGAGCACCACGATGGCATGGGGCGTCACCTGGCTCTGGATCTATCGCAGATACACACGCACAAACATTTCAGAGGCTTTAATTAAATCTGTCAACTTTTATCATAATCTACACTAGATTAAAATATTACTGAGGTTTCATCATGGGCATTTAATGCAATGGAATTTGGCCGGCTCTTTGGCATATATATTTGGACCGGCCTGCATACTGTAATCCTCTAAAGAGCAAGTTTGTGGACATTGACAAGGCTGCCAAATATCAGGGGCATCAGTGCATCAAAAGGTTCAGACTTTGGCTTGTCGTCCGCGAAGCCTTGCTCTGTATAATAAGTGAATGGGCAAACTATAACGCTTTTCTCAGACCTTAATTAACAGGAAAACCATCAGAAGAGTTCGGAACACACAGCCACACACACACACACACACACACACACACCTTGAATCTGTGCACTTTACCCGAAACATACCCCAGAGAATAACCCAATTATTTGTGCCAGCAGGCTCTCCTGAGGTGCGACTCAAAATCACACTTCAGGAGCCCAACAGGGGATCATATCAGTAAAATGAATGAGTGACAAGGTGATGGAAAAACTCATCTTAGCCCACAAGAGACTGCATTTACACAAGAGTTACGCAAAATTGGAACGCTCTTATCGCCATGCACTCATCTGGCAGCAATGCACTGAATGAATTTGAAGTAAGGTAATACAAATTATTCTCACAAATATTTGGAATTAGGCTTTAATTCCGCAATACCGTGTTGTGGCTCTAGCATGACCAAACATTCGCCGGTAGTAGTATACATCTTTTCAGACCATTTTGATGTCTCGTGTGGGTAAGATGAATTTATTCATGCAACCTGTTTCTAGCTAAATTGTGCATTAATCTCTACTCTAATGAACTGTACGGCACATAGACGCATTTAGTACTTTTGTGCATCCACTACGGGGATTTTACTAAAGATCTATTGATCTAGTCTAAAGGGTGGATGGCAGGATGTCACCTTCATCTGTTTGGCACACTGGAAGAGAAGTTGTTGGCAGGGAAGGAGAAAGAGAGGTAGCATGGATTAAAGAAACAATCACCTCAAGAGGAATATAACTTTCATAGTAGGTCTGCACTCACTGTGAAGCATGGACTCAATCTACAAGCTACAATTGCTTGTCTTCACATCTGTAATCAGCCGTTCATATTTACTGAAATATTGCCACAAAATCAAGAGTTTGGCTGAACTGTTTGAACTTGATTCGGGTACAAGCATGCGATTAGTGAAGCCACCACGGAACAAACTAATCTGTATGCAAGTACCAAAACCCATTTGCATTCAAGCACGCCCATGGACAACTACTGATGGTGCACCTAGCTTCCATGAGTGACTAGAATTTATAACTGACTCAATGCTGCCATGGGGAAAAGAGGTGCGCTCAAAGAATACGCTGACCTCTTGACAACAATGCTCTTTTTGGTGACCATTGTTTCCACAGGAAATTGTTATAGCAGCTGCTACTTATTGAATTTCTGCAATAAGGAGTACTTCGGTAATTTGAGCTCCATTCGGCGTACTGAGCATTGATAGTCCAATCCCAGAGCACCATATTTAGCAAACTAAGATAGTATCAGATAAAAGAGGTAAAGCACACATCAGTCTTTTACTCGCATGACAGTAAATCAATCACAAGAGTCATTTGTCAAGAAAAGTCATTGCATTACTTGAAGCAGATCCTCGAGAGACAGTGCATGAGTCACTGGTGACCTTGGCACAGGAGGAGATCAGCAGGTAAGAAGAACAAAACAAAAAATACCACTATCCCTCTCCACTGCCTTGTTGTTCTTCATTCAAATTCATTAGACCTGCGGGAAACGTGTTTACTGGAGACTTACAGAAGCTACTCGCTCAGACGAGCACAGCCTTGCACTTACATGCGAGGGGATGTAGATGTCGTAAGGGTTGCCTGAGTCCACGTCGATGACATGGAAGCCCACGCTGGAGCCGTAGATGACCTTTAACCTCTGACCTTCCTCCACCGTCAGGTCAACCAGCTGGGGACGGTGGTGCAACTCAGTGAATGACTGAGCGGAAACAGACAGGGAAGGGAGAGACGGAAGTGAATGAAGCAGGAAGAGAGAGAGTGCAAAGATGTTGAGTGGATGGTGGAGTGTGGAGTGTTAATGTTTGTGCTTCCATACCTTAAAGGCCATGAACTTGTGGTAGGGTTTCGGAGCCCAGGCATAGATTTCCACAGAGTTCTTCAGAGCAATCACCAGGAACTTAATCCTCTCATATTTGACTGGAGACAGGACATAGGAACATGAACAGCCAGACTTTTCCACGTTAGCAATCTGACCCGATGAACATAATGTATGTTAGATTTGAGTTATTACATGTAATATTTATCATAAACCCTGGTCCCACTCTCCTTACTGGTGTAAAACTCGTGCATTTGATGTGATGAAAAACATGAAGGGCAGGAGCACGGAAAAATACTTGGGTTAGTATAAACAGAATACAATTGAACTTTAATAAAAATTAAAAGAATAAAAGCCCATATTTCTGGATGTAAAGCAACTTCCTTTAACAGCAAAAACAGAAAAAAAAAAATGTATATATATATATATATATATATATATATATATAGTTGGCACAAACTTGAGTTGCTGATAGCAACGGTAAAATGCAGTTAAACAATTAAAAAAAATGTTTTTTTCTTGATGTTAGTATGGTAGCTACATAGAATACATGCCACCTGAATATAGAATATTACTCTCTTTTCCTGCTGAAAATGTCCAAGCTGGTTAGGGATTTGCGCCCATTTAAAATAAATTTCAGCTCAGGCTCAGTCAGAATCCGGCATAAATATCAGCCTTTGCACATGTAATTCCAATTAATTCCTTCATTAATGACGTACAAACACATCCACAGATCCTTACCAACTTTATAATGCACACAGCCCTCCAGCTCCCCAACTGTAATCCATCCCTGCTTCTTCTCTACTTCCGGGTCGTTGTGTAATATTCTGTTTCTCAGCCAGGACAAGTAGTAGACACGCAACTTATTCTTTTTCCCTGAGAGGGGAGGGACAAAGGCAGAGACAGAGAGAAATGAGATGGAACTTACAGGAATGAAGTCCTAAAAAAAACACAAATATATTAGAAACCTATTCAGCTGTAAACAGCACACAATAGCAGATTACCAAAAAGAAGGGTACGGGATGTGCATACAGTGTGAGTGTGTCTGTGTTCGACCTACCAGATATGGTGACGAGCACATTGAGCCCCTCCAGCACATCCATCTGTAGGAAGCGCCGTCTGGTGATCAGGTTATAGACTTTTCCCTGTCCACTTCGGTCAAGTAGCATAAGACCATTCTCTGTCCCCACCAGCAGGTTCACGCCTGAAAACACAAATAGGCACAAGAGTCAGAGACACAGAAAGACATTTGGGATAGTTCAGATGTTCTTGATTGATAAGGAAGATGAAGGATGTTTCCTCCTACCCCAGAGTGCAGCACACAGGATCTCAGAGTTGAAGCGTTTCTTGTATTTGCGGATCTCTGGTGTGTCACTGTGGGGTCGGATGTTGGTCGGGTTGACATTGACCACAGAGATCTTTCTGGCTTCATTTAGTCTGGCCTGCTCCTGCCTCTGCAGCTCATTACCAAACATGGCTGGAATAAAACAGAAGAAAAGAAAGTTGAAGAATTGATTCTTTGGACAGCTGTGCTTGCAAAAAGGTTTCCTATGCTTTGCTGACCTTCGGCTGAGTTCTCGTCGTCGTCGTTTTCACTCGGGGAGGTTTGATAGACACGTGGATCAACGAATGGGGTGAAGGACGCTTTGGACCCGCCCAGACCAAACTGTAATTAATAAGAAGTAGCCTTTATTAACATATCACTCAGAGTTGCTTGAATTTGTTAATATCTACAACTTTTGACAGATATGAAAAATCTATTATGCAATTATGTAAAAAAGGATCTTTATCTGACAAGTTCCGGTTTTATTTAAGGCCAGTTATCAAATATGAAAAGTCAGTAATACACATTTTAATAATTCATTTGCAGATTTTTTTCAGTCTAAAAATGTGAACATATTAAGACTTATTGTATTAATTTCACTATGTTTGACATACAGCACTATATCCATGAGTGTGTCTGTGTCTGACCTCAGCCATGTCGCCCAGTTCCTGCAGGGCTGAGGGGGGTGTGACTGAGGGAGACTTGCTCTGCTGCACCAGGTCAGGGAGGTTACCGTGATTCCCGAACCCATTGCTCTCGGTGTGGCCCCCTCTCCTCCTCTCCTCTGCCTGAGAGACAGAAAAAAAGAAAGTGAGAACAGAAGTGAAAGAAGAGTAAGTGGCGATAAAGAAGCCAAAATGAGCGCAGTTTGATAGTAGGTTAGAAACAAACTGTTTGTTTTCATTCCCTCCTCTGTAAATCAGTGTGGCGCGTGTGTGTGTGTGTGTGTGTGTGTGCACATTCATCACCTCTCTCATCACTAGAGTGCCGTCCTTGGAGCTATTATAGGCATCTCCCAGAGAGTCCTCTGTCAGCCCTCCATACGACTCGCCGCTGCTCTGCATTGCTGGCCTGCAACAGACACACAAGACACACGCACGGTCCCGATTATTTACAAAGCAATTCTGCCAAAACAACACTGACAAGCTGCTGGCATGGCGCATATTCCAAAGACATGCATACTTCCAACGCAAATGCATACTGACAAGTCCAGCTTGAAAAAACAAAACAAAAACACAGAGGGCGTGAACAACAAAAAACAGAGGGGACAACTTACATGATGCGGGGGATGTCGCTAACAGCGACAGTCCCATCATGGCCCACCGTCTCCCCGTCCTCATCGCTGCTCTCTGAATCTTCACTAGAGGACGAGTAGTCCGTCACCTTTATTACAATGCAAGGAGCAGAGACAGAATACAGAGCATTGGTTTAGAAACCCCTCTGTGATAAGACCGGATACTTATTAGGGTTGCATTTAAATTAGCTCCCACACTCATTTAGATAAATCTTGTTCATGTGTAATGTTTTTATAGTGGATGTATTCAAACTAAAAAGGTACTCTGTGGAGTTTTTGACTATGCAGCTATATGTATTCACCAGTGGGACCTGGTTTTGATTGTACGGGAAAGGCAGTGCAGATTCACGCTAGTCCACTCATCAGATATTCGGATCAGTAACGTACAAGGAACAGAGCACTAAGGCCAGACAGAAGAACACTGCAAGCTAGCAAACAAATGCATAAACAAGATATGCTTTGAAATATTCCATTGCAGATGATTTATGAGGAGGGTAATGCATTCAACATGCGTTTTTGACTTCAACGATACACATAATGCGTCTTTGTGAGAAATTCCAACAGTTTCATTTTACCCTTTCCTCTTCTAAAGAGGACCACAATGGAAGTAATATCTTAGCTTCCCTGTGTTTATATTCAAGGCAATAATCTATTGCGTGCCAATACTACAATCAAAATAAATATATCTATTTACTCATCAACATCATCATCATCATCATCTCTACTATAAATGTCATCGTACCTTGACTGGAGGTCTGCTGCCCTCCTCTACCCTCAATTCTCTGAGTTCCTTAGCCAATGCACTTAGGTCCTATAGAGGGGGACAGAAGAGGAGAGGAGAAAGAGACAAAGTCAGTCAGTTTGTCAGATCTGTATCATCTCTTGTAAAACCTGAGGAGTGAGAGAACAAACCACGTACAAGGACGAGGGGAGAAGAGAGGGCAAAGAGTAGGGCAAACCCCTCAGCGTCATGAACTGATTCGTTGTCACGCAAAGATCCGGACCAGGAACAAGAGTGCTCATCTGAGATCTGCTTTGTCTGCTTAGCCACACTCAAATGTTCATTGTGACTTAAGAAGCGATCACAGATCAGCACTTTTATTCGCTCACGGGCAATATATCAACTACGTGAAGACGTGCCGTCGGAGGAGAGAGAGACAGATAATCAGGCTTGACGTAGGACAGGAGTGCAGCATCCTCAGTCTGCACCCCCTCCACCAATCACCCCCATGCCAACTGGCCCGTGGTTCCCACCCCTCCCTTCTCTCCCCATCCACCCCAGTCTATGGATCAGACCAAATCATGCAGGGGGGGAGGGGCGTCATTCACGGTGTGCTTACCAGCTCCTCCTGACCAGTAACCATGACAACAGAGAAACAGGAAAAGAGATTCAGAGACTGTTCAGGTGCTTGGCAGTTACAAACACCCGCCCACAACACGCGCATGCATACACGCACACTCGTCCACATATGCTCTCTCAGGTATGTGTGTGGAAGCACACATGCACTGCCATCGGCGTTACACTCTGATATTTTGAAGTTAAAGAAACAAACGTCATCCTCTTTATATTTGAAATGAACTAACTTCACCATGCCAGGGGAAAAACAGGGGCTCTGATCGAGGCAAAGAAAAGGGGGGGGGGGGGGACTCAAGTGTCACTAACCTCATCTATGGCTTTCTTATAGCTCTGAAGAATACAAAAAGGACAAAGAGAGGAAGGCAGAGAAAGAAAGAACCAGATGAATGGCAGAAAAAAAAGGAGAAGAGGACCGTAGAACATTCCCTGAGAGGAGATTGCTGTGAATGAAAGTTAATGTGTGTGTGTCTGTGTTGTGCGACTCACTGCAGGTCTGCTGGGTCTGGCTGATTCCCGGCCCTCCTCCTGTTTGGGCTTTGCCTCCTGATTGGCTCCTGGAGGGGATCCTTCCTGCTTGGCTCGACCTATCAGAACAAGGAAGTAATTACACGTTTGACCTACATGCACCAATATGTTTAGTCAGAATCACCAAAAAATGTGGATTCAAAATCTGTCCGATATCATTTAGAAAATTGAATATAAAACGTGTATTGTCCATAACATTGGGAAAAAATACTTGTATGGGTCAAAGCACATTCATAAAATATTTTTTAAGCTATTTCGTATTTTTCTTACCCTATCTTGATACTCTTTTTTTTTTCTTTACATCTCAGCCATATTTACTGTCAACCCCATTGCAAAATGACATCCAACAAACATGAAGGAAAACCAGTCCTACCATACTTCAACCTCTCTCTCTGCCATGTGTTTGTCAAGGGGAGATCCATGCATATCTTAGATATCCCTCTGGCCTGTTGTCTGACACATCCCTGTACGCCTCTCTCTATCTCCCTCTCTTATTTCCTCTCTTCTATCTCTCCGGAGGCTGAGAGTAACAGGGCACATCAGACAGGTTGATCAGAGCAGAACTGCGACTGACATTGTCCCGCTGATAGCCTCCAAATCTCGCTGAAGCCCTGTGAGTGAATGCGAATGTTTCCGTGCTTCTTTGTCCGCATTTGCACGTATACAAGAGCAAGTACATGCGCCCGTTTTTTAATTGTTTGCATGCAAGCGTGTCTGTGTGTGTTCATTTAAGTGCGTGTCCATAAGCTTGCGAGTGTGTTTTTGTGGCTTTCAGAGTTTCGGTGCAAGTTTGTGTACCTCTCCTCTCGGCTGAGCCTCCCTGAGATGAAGGGGAGGAGGAGGATGATGAGTTGGAGGAAGTTCTTTGCAGCATGGCGTCCAGAGAGAGCTCGGAGCGCCGTAGGTCTGGGTTACTGAAACAGGTGGAAAACATTTTCACTCATATTTTAAGTTCCTTGAAATGATAAAGCATATTTATATGAAACAGATGTATGCTTTTGATATAAGTTAAGAGCGACAGCGGTCTTTGTAAAAGTACGTAGCATCATTCTCTGTAATGGCATTGAATACTGTTTTAAAATATACAATAACAAAAAAAAAACTATTTTCAAACTAGTCTGCATAAATGTGTTAAGAGGTGGATTAAAGGATTATCTAGATCATAAAGGTGCCTTCAGTGTGCTAGCTTTACCTGGTCCGTATGAGTTGAGAACCTGTGCGAGGGCCCAGACCCACTCCTCCATTAGGGGAATTCTTCCTGACCAAGGCCGGGGAGATAGAAGTGGTCCTCTGGGGGACCTGGACACACACAAAAACACACAGAAAGAGGGTCACCATCGCTGGTACTGCTTGGCTTTTAATCCCCGAGCAAGGAGTTCAACGTTTTCAGAATGTTTCATGTTTATCTTGACATTATAATAAGTTTGTGTGGTGTTTTGGTAAAACAGGTGCAGTAAACTGGGCGGCGGTGCTCTAAATACTACTTATATTTCTGGGTAATGTTCGGCTTGTAGTGTTACACCTGTCCCGGTTAACAATGCCAAAAAACAAAGGCATACAAACAACTAGAGAGGGCAACATTGTGTGCAAAGTTATACATCAATCACTTTGCAACCAAACAAATGAGGAATCATCAGCACTGAGATATGATTTGTACGGTATGGTTTAAGAGTTTATCTTAACGCTTTGATGGATGTTTATTATAATTATGTACATAAAACTAATTATAATAACTGATACAAAATTCACAACAACATATAATCGCTGTGCAGCTATAACAATAAATAAACAATTACTTTTTTAAATGTTTCTTCTACAAGAAAACCCATCATCAGAGATCGTCTTCCTTTCTGATTGTAATTCTCTGACCTTGGGTGGAAGGTCCTCCTCTCTCAGCCAGGCGGTCCTGTCCCGATCCCTGTCTCTGTCCCGTTCCTCTCTGCCTGGGATGCGCAGCGGGGGTCCGGGGGTGTCAGAAGTGGGGTCTGAGTTCTGGCGGGGCATCTCGGGCCTGGGGGAGCCCACGCTAAGGCCCTCACTCAGAGCTGAGCCAGTCTGGTCCTGCAGAGACTGAGAGCCGGACATGGAGCCGGAGTGGGTCTTCACTGGAACCAGGTGAGCCATCTGTAAGAGGGAGAGAGATAAAGAGGCGTAGGGAAGAAAATAAAAAAAATGAAGAATTGTAGGGAAACACAATGGCAAAAAAATGCATTGAGATGAAGGAAAGTAGCAATAAGGAGGGCTATAGAGAAATGAAAGAGAAAGACTGAGTTCTATGGAGGCATGAACTTTTAAAGGAAGTATTCAAGGAGCGAAGAGACATGTGATTATTGCTGTTCACAAGGAAACACACCAAACACTCACATCCCTTCCTTTTGCGCACACGTACACACACACACACCTGTGGTTCGATGGAGCGGTGGATGGGTGGGGTGCGGGCGGGCTGCATGCCCCCACTGCTGAAGGACTCGGAGCGGGGAGGGAGGGAGGGGTCGGAGATGCGGTTGGACACTTTGTGCTGCAGCGCTGGGGAGCTCTGTCTGTTCAGCTTAGATCGATCCTCCACCTGGGACAGGTGACATACCACTATCACTCACAGCCAAGCACGCGGCACAACCAATCACCACGCTTGACCCACTGTGGGTCTCGCCTCCCCATGCAACCCTACAAGCCGCCAGACAATCTTACCATCACGCTGTGGGACAACTGTGTGATTTCTCACATAAATTTATTTTATCTGTAAATCTGTTTTAATGTCCTTGAGCCATGACCAAACTGCCTCTCTGAGAAATTCAGTGGAAGTCTTTTGTTTGCAATGTTTTGGTTGTTTATCTTCTACCATTTCTCATCTTTGTTTTCGCTCTGTTTGTTGTGTACGTATATCTCCATGACCCACATACATTTGAGGAGTAAGAATGTCTGGTGGCTGTGGGGAAAGGTCAAGAATTACCCCTAATCTTCTTTAGCAGACACCACATTCAAAACCAAAATCATCCATTTGAGTATGTGCGAGGGTAGTGTGCACACATACAAACCCATGTTTGATTTTTATGTACATAAGAGCTCGAGTGACTGCTTCCACGTAACTGTGGGAGTGAGCGTCAATGCCAATGAGCACCAAATATCTGTGAGTGAGGAAGGCGGAAAGCTCTGCTTGCCAGTGTAATCAGATTATCAGATTATCTGCTGTGCAGTGAGAGAAGGCGCCGAGGAACGCTCCCAGCTGCCCGAATCACACTTTCCCCACTCTAAACAATCTACTCAACGTTTCCTGGAGGGTTGAGTCGTGGCTCAGCAGGGCATAGTGTCAATAGCCCCCAGGTAAATATCCGTGTGCAATGAGCACCATCCCCTTTGGAGGCTTGCTGTAATTCAACATGAGCTCATAATCTCATAGGGTTATTCAAGATTATGACCTGCGTCAGAACAACTATGCAACACTGTGCCATTCCTCAAATTTTTGGTAGTTGCCTGCTGGGGAGCCAACTATCGTGAGGCATATATAACATATATATATGGTGGCAGAAAACGTCTCAAATACTTTATTAGTTGTTCTCTTAGGATGAAAGGCGACTACGGATGAAGGGAAGAATTGGAGACAAATAGTAGCTAAGTACAAAGAACCAATGAAAAAATGAATATTCCGCGATTCAGGGAAGCACTGCTGTGATGCAAGTCGAGTTTAATCTGTTGATGTTTACGCGATCGAGGTTAGCATAAACATCAACTGACCTTCAAAAGATAGAGAGATTAGTATAAAAAGATCCCTTTACAGGAGAAAAAACATTTTAGGAAGTGCTGCTTAAACCTTCATTTGCGTGTATCAAATGTTTGGGTTTATCCCTCGCCGACCACCCAAAAGCTCTCTCTACCATGGCAGAAATTCCAAGAGGTTAAAACAGAGGATTAGAAAAAGTGAATTGTGGCCACAGCGGCATCTACACTAAGAAAGGACACAGAATAAGGTTAGGAAGGAGAGCAGATGGAGGACAGAGGGAATCCTCAGAGGATCCAGGTTTGTTAGAAGGATCCCACCACCACCTGGCCTGCACCCGTCACCACGCGGGAGTTGATTGAATGGTTGACTGACCTAAAAGGAAGATGGGATGAGTGGGTTTCCCCGATGACATCGACAACAATATGGCCAAGAGCAGGCTTGCCATGGTGCTTTGTGGCTCACTGGATGGTAAGGGTGACAAGGTGTGGGGTGGGTGGGTAACTAAGCTACCTATGCATCAGGGTGGTATTAGAAACTGTCCCTGGATAAAAGCATCTCTCCTCTGGATCTCAGTACCAGCAGAACATTTTTTAAGTATTAGAGAACAGCCTATAAACAAACATGTAGATTAAGAATAAAAGACACACAATTTGTAGAGAAGAACGTAGATATATTTACAGATCCTTAATGCATGTTAATGTGCCTTTGTGTATATATACACTGTATATATTATGCTCTTGTACTTCTATCTTTGTGAGGACTAATTTGATTTGAAGTGAGAACATAGATGAGGGTTAAGACTTTGTTTTAGAGTTGAGTTTAGGAGTAGGACTTGGTTAAGAGACAGTAGATGTTTTGATTTATATTTGACTACAGCCTTAAAGATTTGATTGGGAATAATTCAATTGTTATTTTTCCTTTTGTTATTTAAGTAGTATTTTGAGTTCACCATACAACCAGCAGTGGCATCAACCGGTAGTAACGGCAACACAAGGTACAACAATTAGATAAGTGTTGGAGTTCAGCATGTCGTTGTAATGGGGGTTAGGATTTTGACTCATTATTTCAGTCAGAAAATGGACGTACAAAATTGTGTGTGTGTGTGTGTGTTTGCCTATACATGTGTGCTTTATGTATATAAGGGTCTATAACTCCGCATGAACAGATTGGATACAGAGCTGGTTCTGAGATCCAAAGGGAGAGCCACACGGGGAGCAGTGGGGGGTAGACGCAGGTGAGATGTGGCGGAAATAGGAGGCGTGGTTGGGCAGGCGGAGGTGGCCATCGAAAGGTGGAGGCGATATGCCGGGCATGTTGGAAACAAGGGGGTCAGGAGAGAATGGAGGGGAAACGGTACAGATGGGCCACGAGCCTGGGGATGGGGGGGAGCTTTGTGGACAGGTCCAAGGAGAAAGGCCCAACCAAGAAGTTGGGGTGGTTAGAGAGAGGGATTGCAAGTGGTCATAGGAGCCACTTTTCATTAGTCTGACCTCAGCCAGGTTCTGTTTGAGAATGTCTGCCGGGGCAGAAACACTAAGGACCAACATAGAGGAGCTACCTTTTAATTGCCGATCAGAATGAGGGGAAAGGAAGGGATTGTTATCAGGGACTTGAAGACAACTGTTAGAGGAAGGTGAGTAGGAGTGCCTGTTTCTAGAAGAGGAGGAGTGGAGACCATTGTAAGGGAAGGATTGAGAGAGGGGGTCAGTTGGGACATCCCAGTCTGAGGGCGATGAAAGCCTCTCGTGGCTGACAGATGCCCATTTCATCCACTTGAACTCAGGTTCTATATCTACATCTATTCTACTGCAAGGTGAGTGTGACCTGCTGCAACGGGAGTCACTAACCAGTTTGACCGCAGGGATGGATACAGTATTAGATCCAGACTGAGGTCCCTGGACCTGTCCTGGCGACTGAGGATGATGTTGTAGGGCAAACTGTAGGTCTAGAGGCATTAGCCCCTGGATGGCTGACTGACTGGGGGCAGAGAGAAGCCAGTCTCTTGGCTTCTCTTTCTGAGGTCCCAGAGGATATGAGTTGGGTACTGGATTAGACTGGCTGACTGGCCCTTGATTAGAATGCTCTTTATGACTCTTGCTAGGCCCCTTACGGGGCCCTTGGCCAGGAGCCTGGCTGTTTTCCTGGATGGGCCCCGGGCTGCAGCTCCTAGAACTGAGTTTCTGAGCCCTAAACTCTCTGACCTGCTGACTTATCTCCTGCTTCAGGCCCGGATCTAGGGGCTCACCGGGGTCTAGTGAAATACGTATATTGGGGATGCGGGTGGGGAGGAGCTGGGCAACTCGGGACTGGGTTCGCCTAGGTGCCTGAGCTCTCTGTTGGCCGTGAGACCCAGGGGATGAAGCCGGTTGGTTGAATGACTGGTGGTGTTGTAGTTGGGGGCGGGGCGGGTTACTCTGAACATGCTGCTGCTGCTTCGGGACCTAAGAGTCGGAGTCAGAGGAGGGTAAGCAACAAAACACATACAAAGCAGACAACACTCTGTGATTATCGAAGTAGCAGCGTTCATTTCAAAATATCTTCAGATTCAAAAAGCAAGACCTCCCACCGGACAGCTGCTTCTAGTAAGACCTGCTGAACAAGATATTGACAACACAAGAAGGCCATCGGTTGCGTTTAGTGTACAATAGGGGTTAATTTGCTAAACATTACAAGGATACATCTCCAATACATCCATATATTTAGTGTACTACTTTCCTCAGAGCTGGTGCTTTTCCTTACTCTGCAACAATTATTTCTCAACTTGGAAATAACTCCTGTTGGCTATTGCTGAAACTTACCTCTTTGGCCCAGGCAGGCTTGTCGTTAGGATTGCTGATATCTTTGTAGTGGTAAAGCGGTTTCTTCTCTGCTTGCCTTCCCTCCTGCTGCTGTTGTTGCTGCTGCTGCTGTAGAGACACCAGGTAGGCTCTCTCCTGATGGAGCTGCCTCTGCAGCCGCTCCGCCTGCCGCTGCTCCTCTATCTGCTTACGCTTGTACTCCTGGAGGGACAGAGGGAGAGGGGGGGTATGGGAGGGAGGACAGAGGTGAGAGACAGGAAAGCAAAACAGAAAGAAACGAGGTTGGACATAGGAGGAGAGAAAGGAAGGGAGATCAAGAAGAGGGGAAAGAGGATGAGGAAGAGAAGGTAGTGAGAGACACAGATCAACAACAAAGCAGGTGAGTAATTATTGCACGGTGAGAAAATTAGCAAATGACATGCAAATAATTCTTAATACTACTACTACTAAACATGGATGGTTATCCTAAATGGGAAGCTGTCATTTGCACTAATTATCTCTGAAATGTTCTGTTTTATGGGCATAATTTGCAAATAAATTGTGTAACAAGCCTTTTTCTAATGTCAGATTCGAGCCATGCATAAACAAATACTGCAAAACAGAACAGATGAACACGAATACTGACAACTGGAAGCAGGTATATGGAACATGAACACACACCTTTCAAAATTGTTATCACAATAGTAAGGCTGATGATGGATTAAGGGACAAGGGAACTATCAGACATAAGGCATTGGCAAATCTTATGAGACAGGGGAGAGGAAAGCAGTAGTACTGAGAGGGAAGAAAAGATGGCAGTAGGGAGGGAAGAGGAAGACGTCATTTTTCGGGCCACAACACCTGCGCGTGATGTCGTTGCTGTGGCCTCTGGTGTTTAAAAGGGTTGGATCTCAAAAGGTTTCCTTAAATATATTTCTCTTCAAAAATTTGAGGTAAGGAGCAGTGGACAGATACTACAAGACATACTGTGGATTGCTTGCAGTAATAAAACACAAAACTGTAGCCCCGGATAAGACTGGGGCACGGACAGAAACCCTCTGAGGAAAACAACAATGTCCTACTTTCTCTTGGATGTTCTCACTTTGTGTGGGCCAACATGATTGGGGATGACAAAACCGTTTTCCTGCACCCTCTGGGGAGTCTTTTGAGATCCAGCCAACAAAATGGTACGGTTCATGCAATTTAACGATCAGAATAAATTCAACACAAGCATTAAGAGATAAGCAATTCATTGCTTCAGTTCCATGTTTTTCCTTAAATGTGTAGCTAACCGGTTGAGTGACTCAAACTGTGGATTCCCTCACAGCCAGTTCCTCTGTACAACATGCAGTGGGGATAGGGGGCCACACAGCACAGATGGGGAGCAGGAGTGGCATAGGGGACGCTACGGTTACCATCAGTAACGCCTGTTCTTGTAGTAGCTGCTGCTGGAGAATCTCTAACTGCCTCTGTTCCTCCTCCAGCTGTCTACGGATATACTCCTGAGCAGCGTGTCGGCACAAGGAAATAGAAATAGACCAAGAGAAAAATCAGGAAATCTGAACATCCAAACACCAACAGAGAGAGAAAGACCAAGATAAATTTAAAAAAAAAGAGATACAGAGAAGATAATCTCCTGAGGTAGCTGTGAATGAGGAGAGAAGATGAGAGTCAGAAGCCAGATGAAGCTAAGGAGACCATGTTCTCAAACAATTGTAATGCGTTACAAAGGAAGTATGACAAAGAGATGGGGGAAAAAAAACAAATATATTGAATATATCTTTCCACAACACTTGAAAAGCGTGGGAGGAGAGTAACAGAGCGATAAAAAAGGGACCAGGATAGACAAAAAAAATACACATCTGAACAGGAGTAAGTTCACAGAGAGGACGAGGGAAAGAAAGCAGACAAAGATGTATACTACTGGAGAGTACAGAACAATCAAAATACATACAAGAGCAGAATCAAAAGTAGAAAGAGAATCCCAGAAGGAGTACCAGCTTGAGAAACATACAGGGCTCATGACAAAACTTATTACATTTAGATCTCTAAGGCTAGAATCATTTCCAGTCTGACAGTATTACACTGGGACACACTACACAGTCATTGTCTTTGGGACCCAAGCTCTGATAAATTACACAAAAAATACTGAAAGCATCAAGTTTCTGTGCTATTCCCTCAATACTTTAAACGTTTATTGTGCATCTTTGACATTTGGTCTTTCCTTTATAAAAGAGTATGCAATAAATAAAGCTGGAAAGGTATTTGTTCATTAAATGATTAAGATAATGAATTTAATCTTATTGTACAATAATTTAACAGCTCGACAGTGCCTTCGGTCATTTTGGAAGATTATGAAATATCTGTTCACTAGACCTATCGGCACTGTCATACCCACAGGAGGACCAGGCATTACTGTCCAGGGTAGACTTGATTTAGTCCTCGGGGAACTCCTGCCACTATAAAACAAAAACAACTTTTGAAAAGTAAAAATCTCTTCAATTTTACTGTTTTTGAAATTCAGGTGGTCACTTTATTTGCCAACTCATAGAGAAAAATCCATCCATTTGGGTTTTATTCTTTTGCAATATTTACCGTAGTGGCAATAGACACATTTTTTGCATTAACTTATCGTTATGAAGTGAATGTTGATTATACGATGTAATGGCTATAATAATGACACCATCCAAAATTACAGCCTGGTTTTCACGATGCAATTCTGTCTGCCACCTGGTATGATCTCCCGGGAAAATAAAGGCTTGATTTACGGCACAAAGAAAGTGCCCCAACCATTGCGCAACCAAAACAGGAAGAAGGTAGCCCTTTTAGTTTCCCCGAGCCATCCCCGTCACCAAACAGTATCAAGATAAACTCTTTGAAGTTACAATCCCTTGTAGCGGTAATTTCAGTGGAACTGTGGAAAACAAAACAAGCTGGCACTAGCGCCACAAGTTGCTAAAAGTCATCATGTCACAAATTTCCGCGGGCACCATACTGTGTCTTCATGCAGCTAGTGTTTTAGTATAATATCACAGTGTATAAACCTGTTCTCTCTCCGCATGCCTCCTCTCCTCCTCTCTACGGAGCTGCTCCATTTCCTCATAGCGCCTCCTCTGTTCCCTCTCCTGCTGCTTCCTCAGCTCTCGCTCTCGCTGCTGGTGCTGTCAGGAGGACGCACGAAGCACAAGAAGAAGCACAAGAAGATTCAGGATTCACACAAATTTAACAAATCATGTCTCAGCAGAGATTGTCACACATGCTAAATCTTTGATATGCGACCTCATTTGATTATCTTTCTTTTAAGATAAATGTAATTCCTTCCACAATATGTCTTATGTGTCTTTGCTTCTTTTATCAATTATGGAAGGAATTGTATTCATAAATTCACACAGGATACAAATATACAAACATGCATTCACACTTGCACAAACACACGTGTGCATGCTCGCACGGAGAGTCACAGACATGCGCTTGGCCCCGAGTGGAGGGGTCATTTTAGTTGAGTCGAGTCATGGTGCTTAGCCGTGCGTTGGGAGGCAAACCCTTGTGGTAACCCAGAGAGAGCGCACAGATTATGGGCTAAGGATTTCCTTCTATAAACCCGCTCTCTGGAACTAAGAGAGGGACACTGGAGGAAAGGCTGTGTGTGTGTGTGCGTATCTATCTGTCTCTGTACCGCTCTCCCTCTCTACTGCAGCCTCTACCAAATGGTGAATGAAATGTGTTGTAAGTTTGAACTGCCAGAATGGGACACATTATGTTTGCAAACAGGCTTCAAGGTGTTTAAAGGACGAGCGCATGGAGAGCCAAACAAAGGGCTTCCATTGACTACTTGGTGTGTGAATTTAAATTTCGGCCATGTTTAAAAGCCGCTCTCGACAAATGCATTCCACAAGATCAAAGGTCACAGTCAAAGCATCCTCCAGCTTACCTCCTCTAGCCGCCTCCTCTGCACCTTCTGCTCCTCGATGCGTTTCTGTCTCTCGGCCAACAGTAGGCGCTTGTGCTCCTCATTCTGCTGTTGCTCCAGCTGCTGCTGCTGCTGCCGCCGCTGCGCTTCCGATCGCTCCTTGTTGGCCAGCTGGAGGCGCAGGAAGTCCCGCCTCAGGGTCGACTCTCCGGGGCCGTTGATGATGGAGCTGCGGATGGACCGGTAAGAAGACAGGGCGAGTTTGGAGTTAGTGAATACATCTCAAATGCGTGTTGGGAAAAAAAAAAACTTGGGTATATATATTTGTGAGGACACTGACCTTGGTTCACCCATTTCTCCTTCTTCGTCCTCCTCTTCACTGCCGCTGTACTCATACTCTGTCTCATCTGATCGAGAGAGAGGAGAGAGAAAGAAAACATGTTAAAGAACAAAAATCATAGAAAAGTGAGTAAGGTAATAACCAGCAGCGAGCAAAGCCATTCCACTTCTTCATTTTTCACTTGAACTACCTTTGTTCATTGCTGAACAGCTTACGATTCTTGCATTCCCAGATTCCTCACTCCTTTAAGGCACTTTCTGTTAGCCGCTTTGAATACGAGTATAAACCGTTATTTTACTGTGTGTAGCGAGGTGGAGAACATTTGCTCGGAGCTCTTTCAGGAAAACGGGGCTTAAGGCATAACGGTTGTAGAGGCAGCCCGGCTTTTCCTGAGACACACTCACGCGGACCTGTCCTCCGAATGTGACAAAGTGACAGCTGGAGAGAGCCACAGTCTGTACATGACAAGACTTTTCTATACATCATCACAACTTTCACCCTGAAGTATGCTGTCTCTTGAAGCGGTTAATGTGGATCTTACTGGTGCAGTCCTCTGCGCGAGTGTCAGTCTATCACTCAAACTGTGTGTGTTTGTCTGTCACTTTTATTTCCTGCCTCTCTGTAACGGTACATGTGCGTGACAATTTGCGTCTGTGTGTGCATCCGAAATGTGTTAGATATCATCCTTGCAGCCAGATTAGATTAATACAATGGTTTTATTTCACCGAGTTTGATCAGGATATCTTGATATATGATTTCGTCATGATATGATTCCATAAATCGTCGAGTTATGGCCAAGACCCGAATGTATGTAATTCAGTATTGTCATTTAATTTCATCTCAATCATATCTGCATTATGTTCCTTTACTTGCAGCCGTATCAGAGCTGTATGAAGGTATTGCTAACGTATAATAACTTTTCATACTGCTGCTGCTTCACATTAAAAGCACTCAACTGGCTAAACATGGGGTGCTTTTATTGTGAAACAGTCACGGAAAACATGTCTGTGTCAGTAATTTTGTACCTATTGGTTAAAGAAGTAAGTTTCAGTGCCATCTAATCCAAAGAATCATTTTGAGTATGAAGCATTATATAATACAATTTTGTGACATACAGTATCATCTTTGCAATTACTGTTTACACAGAGGAAACTTTCCTTTTAATATCTGCAAGCTGCAAGAGTCTCTCAAGAGTGACTACCTAATCAATCAGTCGCTCCACCTCCACCTAAATCTGCATGTACATTTGCATTTGAACATGTCTGTGTCACATGTTATTCCTCACCCCTCTCTCCTCTCTTCTTCTTGGTGCGGTCGATGTGGTCCTTCAGTTGGATGCGGATCTGCCTCTCGTTGGGCAGGTCTTTGATGAACGGGTGCTTGAGGAGCTGCTCTGTGCTGGGTCTCTGGCCGTGGCTCTTCACCAGACAGCTCTCTATGAACGACTGGAACTTCTTGGACCTGAAACCACACAACCACACAACCACACACACACACACACACACACACACACACACACACACACACACACCAGAGAAGTAAATGAAAAACCTGCTGTGATCGAGTGCATGTCTGAAMTGGTTATTCTGCTTTTGATAGTGCTGGACCATTTACACTCACCACTTCTTTGACTTGAGTCTGGGGGCAGGATTGCGCGGGATGAGGAAGAGAGCTCTCATTGGGTGCATATCACACAGTGCTAAAGATTCAGATATCAGGTACATAACACGGGTGAGTTAGGGTGAATGTTTCTAGCTAATTGTGATGAACACATCATGGCATATAGTCAAAGTCAGCTGGAGTTAGTTCTCATTTGATCAATATAGGCTGCCAATACTGATAACAATCTATCAGTTTCTCTCTCACACTCACACACACACACACACACACACACACACACACACACACACACACACACACACACACACACACACACGTCTTGTCTACTTGAAGAAAACCATATCCATCTCACAAATAGGCACTTGTGCATGTATGGCTATAACATTTAGTTATTTGAGTTTTTTAATATTCAAACTTTTATATATTCAAACCAAGCTAGTGGTTTAGTATTCTACTAATAAGGATACCAAGAATAAAAGACCTTTCGGATTATTTCTTTCACAGCTTTTAGTTCCTCCTACGTGGGCCATGTGACTGACAGTTTCCAGAAATTGCTGGCATCCTAATTAATGTGATTACTTTGGATTTACTACACCCATATATCATGTCCACCTAGTGAAGCACACACACTGAAATATTCTCATCTAGTTAGATTAGATGATACAGTAATTTACCGACTTTAGCTCAGTCAGACTTTCACCAGAAGTAGCTTTTTTTTTTACCAAACCAGAATAATAATAATCACAAAGAAAAGAAAAAGCATGTGAACAACCAATTTAATATCCGCTCCTTGGCCTTGCGTTGGCCTGGACAGAAAAACAAAAATGCCTCTTGATTATAGTGATCTACTGTCGTGGCACTGAGGGAAGATGTGTAGCAGAGGTGTGTGTTATTGCAGGTGTACGTACGTGGTGCTCCTTCAGCCATCTCTAGTGCTGTGATTCCCAGTGACCATAAATCACTCTGTAATGACAGAGAAGCAGTGTGTGAATACAAAGGGTGATCACAAAAAGCACCACAGACAGACACATTCAGCGGACGGGTGGTTGCTGAAGCACCTTGAAGTCGTACGTGGCTTCAGGGTTCTCGTCACAGGCGATAACCTCCGGTGCCATCCAGTAGGGCGTCCCGATAAACGTGTTCCTCCTTCCTACTGTTCTGTCCAACTGGGCTGACACACCAAAGTCCACTACGGAGCAAATAAACACAAAAAAACATCATACTTCAGGACATAGTCTGCAGTCTACTTCAACCTTTGTTTTTGTTTTTTGTTGTTTTTCCTTTGTGCGTGTGTGTGTGTGTGTGAGAGTGTGTGTGAGTGTGCTGACACCAATGGGGCTTTTCTGAATTCCATAATGGAATCTAAACAGGAACGAATTGCCCAACCTGCAATAGCTTGCCCAATTCACAAACACACACACACACACACACACGCTTTATAATCCCCTTTAGGGGGAAAGAGAGAGAGAGAGAGAGAGAGAGAGAGAGCGAGAGAGTCCCTTCTTCAACAATCTGCACCATGAACAGTGGCAGAGCTACAGAGAGATGAGTAAGCTGGTGTTCAGCATAAAAGAAGAAAGAAAAGCCTCACACACACACACGTGCACACACTTGTACACACCTCTGATCCATCTGAAATGCTATCCTCCTGCCCTCCCAATCCTAAAGCCATTTTGTCAAGTGGGGTTAGATGACAGACTGACCTAGTTTGACCTCTGCGTTCTCAGTCAGCAGGACGTTCTGTCCCTTGATGTCTCTGTGGATGACCTTGTGCTGATGGAGATGAGTCAGACCCTGCAGACAGCGACACGGTGGAGGAACACCAAGTCATGATTATTGTTATTATTATTATTATTATCATTAAAACCTCAAGGGCTTATTTACAAAAGGAAGGAAGTGTCTTTCAGCCACTTCATAAAAAGACTTGTGCCTACAGAGACAAGTCTTATTATTAGTTTTAGCTGTCTTAGAAGTAGTAAATGTAGTAAATGACATTGATTTTGGAGCAACATACACCACCTGAAGTTCATTATTTCTAGCAAAGCCTGTCTGTACATGTTTTATTGTTTTGTCAGGAAAAGCAACGAACCAACTATTCAATGTACAGACAGAATATACGTTAAATACCATTGTGATATACATGTCTCAATCAACATATATAGGATCTTTGGTGCATAGAATCCGAGCAAAATTGTGAATGTGACAGGTAGTCATGCTTGGAAAGTTTAATAATTCGTATTTTAGTGAAGGCTCTTGTATTTACTGTAATAAACATTAAAATAAATGATAGACAATTGGCAGGGTAAAAATGCTAAAAGAATTTAAAAAGAAGAAGAAGACAAAACCCACAGTAAAAGACAGACAAAGGGAAAGAAGACACAGAGACAAAATGTAAGTGGACAAAGGCACACAGAAAGAAACAAGACCAAATCACAGCAGGAAGAGAGGAAGCAGAGAGCACGAAATAAGATGCCAGATGAGGGATGAAGAAAGAAATAAAAGTGGATGAAAGGAAATCATTGTTGCTTCAGTTCACAGCAGCACTGCGTATGACTGACTCTGTCTGAGGCTTTAGCCCTCAGCATGAAAAACACACAATAACAGATAGTAGAGATAAGATGTTGGGGGGAATGAGTATGATTTTCCAAAGAACAATTTCAATGCGTTGCTTTTACATCACTCCAAAACACAGATACCATGGAACACAAACAACTGGTGATTGCCATCGGTCAAAGAATCGGTCAATTAATAAAATACTGATGAACTGGCAATACTATGAAGAGAAAATTATTATCAAGCCTCTTTTTAAAACTGTTAATCACTGCACATGGAGCCTGTGAAGATGTGAAAACTGATAAAATATGAATGATTGCACATTTCTTGCCTCGAATGTTTTCAGAAACATATTTTAGTGTAATCTTCAGGTGTAAAATGAGAAAGTATGCTCCATCCAGTGGGCGTTGCTTGATTTAAATAAATAAAATGTACATTTGAGATAATCCGTTGTCAGAGGTAATTCTGATCTTAGTCTCAGACCACTGCTCAATTTTGCCAAAATGTCTACCATTTGAGAACGTTATTTGTTATAAATCATGTCCAATCATTTTTAAAGATCAACTAATGAACTGTTACTACCGTATACTTTCTTGTAATCAGCAAATATAAATCAACACACAGCTCCCACAGTCTTATTCATGCTTTCAGAAGGAAAACGTCATCAAGGACCTCTCTCAGTTTCCTCAGCATCACGTATACTAATTGCTTACTCGTGGAGGATGTTGAAACAATGACTCAGCAACATGGCCACTTACCCTGAGAATCTCTCGGCAGATGTAAGCGGTCCACTCCTCTTTCAGAGAGTTGCCCTTGGTGTTCTTGATCAAGTCCGTCACTGAGCCGGCTCCACAGAATTCCATGACCAGCTAAACACATACAAGGTTGATTATTGACTGTTCTGCAAAAGAGAGCAATCTGCCCTGGGATCTGCTCCAAACAAGCCAGCAACTCCCATAAAGCAACTTATTGAGATAACCAGGGAGCTAGTAAAACATCTCACTTGTTTATTCATGTAAGTACAGGACTTTGTGCATATGTTTTCCAGATAGATTTATCTTTTTTCGCCTTGTGCCCCGTCATACTAGAGCCTGACAGATACATCGACCGACCGACACTATGAAACTGTTGAAAATGTTTTTTTGTGTTTTTATTGTTTAATTGAGTAAATATCACTGCTTAAAACTTACTAATTCTTACATCAACCATCATTGTCATCTTTAAAAGCGGAGCTGCATTACTGATTAGTCTGCCAATTGTGTTCTTGAGTCATTGATTCATTGTTTGGTCTCTAAAACATCAGAAAGAAGTGAAAAATGTCGATGAATACCTGTGGAAAATCACTTGAATCATTGCAGCTCTATTTGAAAATCTTAATCTGTACATCTGTAATCTTAACTGAGACATATCTTTATAAAAAAAAAATTCTGTTATTGGATTTTTGTATTAATCCCAAGTACTGATAGTGTTATCAGCCTCAAACATCTAGTATCCTTCAGGCTCTTAAGTACCAAAGGTCACGCTGAAAATCTCTTGGATGTATTCATTTTTATAGACCGCTACTGACGCATGTGCACAGAATAAAAAGTGCTTTCTTTGTTCAACATGATGCACATTATAAGGAATACACAGAACCCATAATCACATTACTGTAATAGCATTACTAATACAGAGAGCGACACACATGAAGGCAGCCATGTCACAGACTCTTTCTCTGTCACTTCTTACAGTCACACACCCCACAGCGACCACAGAAAACTGCTGCATAAACTGACTCAACAGGGTCACGAGATCGCATGAATGAAGCAAGTCGTGAATCTCTTGACCCAAACACAATGTGCCCATTCTGTCCACCCCCTTTCCTCTCTCCATCCTGAGCTGCCTCATGCCTTCTCCTCTCCTGTCTTATTACATTGGAGGAGATTTGCCAGCAAAATTTCAGCTGGTCAGTTGTGGCCCTGCTTCAAGCTTCTCCCATCATCACTCTAGATAACAGGAAGTCGGCGAGTAATGGCCGACCACTCTTATCCAGGCCGTGCATGTGTACTCAGACACGCAAAGACAAAAGTAACACACTCATATATATGCATAATCATAAGGGGACATATGTCAAAGTGAACAGACATACAGCTTGTGCACTGACTAACACACACACACACACACACACACACACACACACACAGCAGCTGTTGAGTCAGGAGGAATTATGCAGGCAGTAGATCTGGCCGCTCTGTGTATATGCATATGTGTGTGTGTGTCCTCCCATTGTTGTGTGATGAATGCTACAGGATCAGAGAAGAGAGAGCTCCCTTGGATCGCGTTAACACATGATTTATTGCAGTAGCCAGTCAGCCACACAATAATTCATTTCACTCTCTCTCTCACACACATACACACACACACACACGTTAAGTATATATACATATTACAATGCGCATAAACCTGCAGTCACTGCATGCATGAACAAACTACACACTCACTTCTTTCACATAAATGTAACAGTGAACAATGGAAAGTCCCTTCTTTCTGCTCTGCGGCTCTCTACGAGACTACAGACGTCGACACTTTCACACACAAACGGGAAAATAAGCATGTGCAAACACGCAAACGCTTAGAGTTGCAAAAATGCAGGAAAAGTAAAATCAAACATGCACAAACAAACACAGATAATGGCTTACCCATAGCTGGTCATCTATGCCATGGGGGTTTTTCTTGATGAACGCTCCATAGTAGGTGGCGATGTTCCGATGGTGACTGTACTTCTTCAGCATGTTAATTTCAGCTTTAATCTCCTCTTCCTCATCCTGGCACACACACACACACACACACACACACACACACACACACACACACAC